GAGTTGCAGGCTTCAGAGGAGTTACAGTCTCAGCCGCAAGACCCAAACCGACTGCCATAAGCAGAACAAGCACAAGAACCGCTGCGCAAAGAGACGTGAGCTGAGATCTTCATCCTCCGGTCCCTCTATCCGGAGAACATCATCTTCCTTCCCAGCACTGAGGCCAGGGGAGCCCCTGAAGCTCCGCAAGCACGACCCCAGCACCACCCAAGCACAGGCCAAGCACGGGCCAAGCACTGGCCAAGAGAAGCCCAGTGTAGCCCTAGAAGGATTTAGGGTTTAGGGCTTCGGGACAGTCGGTTATGATGAGGGGCTTGCCGCAATGCCCTAAACGTCGGGATGTTTCTATCGAGCGCCCAAGAGGTTTTTAGCAATCTCGGGCACAGCCTAAAGGAAAAGGGTCGGCACACTTGAGACCAAATGTTGAGTGACGATGTGGCGCATGTTTGACCAGGAAGGGGTGGCACGAACTGACCGCATAGGCTTTTGGGATCAGTGCCTGTTCGATTCACGGGTGAGATCGGGGTTTGTGCCGTCCATGAAGCAGCCCAGACCTAGCTCCCAAAGCCCCAACCCCCAAAATCCAGCCCTGCAGCCTATCGATGGCCCACAGAACCCAGAGAAACAGTTTGGGGTTTAGGGTTTCGGGTTTCGGGTTTAGGGTTTAGGGTTTAGGTTCAAAACACATAGCCAGGTGCCGAAGTTTTTGGAGACTGTCCTGGAGGCAAGCCCGGCGTGCAGCAGCCCGGGCCTTACAAAAGGGGACAAGCGGGCCTCCGAGAGGAGCTTCTGGGGGCCCTTCTTTCGAGAGGTGTTGGGAAGAGGGGTTTGAGGGTTTCAGGGTTTTGGGAAGCGAGGTTTGAGAGGTTTGCCGACTCTTCCTGCAGGATGCTAGGGCCTAGCAGCTAGGCGTTGACGGCCAACATTCCGCCTCAGAAGTTTCTGTTGCAAACGGAAACTTCTTCGGGCTGCAAAGGGTCATTGGCCGATGGAGCCTTTGCAAGCCCTTTAAAGCCTTAACACACATGTGCCCAACCCTTGAGTCCTCCAAAGTCCTCAAGCACGCTGTGTCCCGTACTGGTAACCCGGAAGCCCTTCAGCCTGCGCCCCCGAACCCCACGCCCAAAGCAAAAGAATCCACTCCAAAGCCCTGGTTGTGCCAAAATCTCCTTTTAAGGATTTTTTTTGTAGGTATCCTCTGTCACCCAGCGCTTGCAAGACCTGTGCTAGAAAGCCTGTAAAGGGAAGGGAGAGCCCCGAGCATTCGGCCCCTGGACCATCAAGCCCTTATAGTTCCGACTGGCGCCATGTGTATACAACCTTCCGCATGTTGCAGCCTGCCCAGGCCTGCACCACGAGGATACAGATGTGTCTTTATGTGTTTTTTAGGTTGTCGGGCTTCAGGGCGGAATGAAGGCATGGGTTTGTTTTGAAGTTTTGTTTTGAGGGAGGGATGCGGACGAGCTTAGTGGGGCCGAGGTTCTCTGCAAAGATGCGAGTGTTGGAGTTGAAGAAAATACCTTCAGCTGCAGCTTTCAATCCCTAAATTCTTATACACTGTGATCGCAAGAACTAGAGCTCGTGGCCTTAGGGCCTTAGGGTGTATTAGGGTGCAATCTGTGTGGCTTCGGGATTCAGAGGGTGGAAGGTTCTGGCTGATGCAGCCTTTTTCTTTGTGGGGAACCAGACTCTTACTGCTTGCGGCCTGAATAGGATTTAGGGTTTAGGGTTTAGGGTTTAGGGTTTAGGGTTTAGGGTTTAGGGTTTAGGGTTTAGGGTTTAGGGTTTAGGGTTTAGGGTTTAGATGTGGAAGACGAACCTCTCACCTGGAGTGCCACGCCATGGGCCATGTGAAGCCAGTAGCTGAGTAGGCCTGAATCACGTTGGGTTTTTGTCCGTGCAACCCCCAAACATTGCGCTTGCTGTCCCTAAGCCCTAAGCCCTAAGCCCAATGCCCTAAACCCTAAACCCTAAACCCTAAACCCTAAACCCTAAACCCTAAACCCTAAACCCTAAACCCTAAACCCTAAACCCTAAACCCTAAACCCTAAACCCTAAACGTGCAGGAGGCCGACGTCGCCTTTACCTGGGAGAATGGCCGTGCGGAGCTGAGTTTCACAGAAGGCGTCCCTTCGCGATGTCCGGTGTTACCATCTCCGTGCCGGGATTTTTACTTGGGGCCGTAACTTTGTAGTTGTTTCTCTATGACCGAGGTGGGTGTTGGAACAACTTATGTTATCGAGATTTTGGAGTATAATTATGAAGCTCGCGTTCGGGCTCCGAACCGAAGCTGCTTCCTTTTTTTCGGCCACCCCCAAGCAATCGTTCCCAACTACCGAAGGGTTGGGTTTCTATCTCGAGAGGAGGGGGGCTAAATGAGATCCCTGAGCCCAACTCGGAACGGAACAGGTAAGAGGAGCCAGAACAGACCGGAAGGGGACCCCTGCCGGAACGGAGCGGAACGGAACGCCGGAGCGGAACGGCATGCTGGCTCACAGCTGAATTGAGACCAAGCTCCAAAGACCACTTACCCACACAGCCTGACAGCATCACGCACGAGGAACAGATGACCTCCGCCTGAAGAGTTGGAAGCAGGACCCGGGGGTAATGTCTACAAGATCGGCTTGCTGCGCTCCAGGATTGAGTTTTGTCGGGCCTCTGTGGTTCGGGGCTTCTGGCTGATGGAGGTTTGAGGGTTGCTTGATGCGGCTATTTCTCCATACCCAGCTTAGTGTCTTCTCCATACCCTAGCTTAGTGTCATCGGCTTTCAACTTTTCACTTTGGCCCACCTGGTGGCTGAATACGTTTTGCAAGAAGGAGGCCAGACAAGAAACCTCAAGGGCATAACACAAGATCTCACAGTCTATGTCATATTTAACATCCCAAGCCCTATAAAAGACCCCAGCTTGTACGCCGGAATTTTGAAGCCTGATCGACGACAGGAGCTTTGCAAGCGAAGCAATAACTGCCTCACCTTAGAGATTCACATCCGCCCAGCAGACACTTTCTCCACAGGCCGGATTTTGCTGTGCTGGGTCGGGAAGAGGGGCTGACTACTGTAGTGAAAATCGCCGCATCCAGTTCGCGAAATGCGCTTTAAAGGGGTTACACCAGTTGCGCGCAGGCTCGATTCAGTCGTTGGGCTACGCCTTCTTCCTGCGTTTGAAGGACCAGCCCGGAATTTCCCCGCCCGGAATTTCCCCGCATCGGCACCTGCGTACGGGTTTAGCCAAGGTCATGATGGGAACCAGGTCGAGCCCAAATGACCGCGGGCATTGAACATTCCATGACCACAGGACTAGAACCTACAGCAGGCTTAAGTTGCTCGTGAGCGGCAAGTTTTTCCATGCTCTCTCAGAAACAGCTCTCGTGGGATCGCCCGAGCTGCCATTGGTTCGCCATGCATGGCCTCCTATAGGCTGAAGAGCTTTGTGGTTTCTTAAGGAAGCTTCCAGGGTGTCGCGGTCAAGCCAGAGAATTGAGTTGGAGCTGAGAACTCGGTGAAACTCGAGCTCTGACGTTTCATCCAGCAGAGCTTCCTTGCGTGTGCTTTGCCGCCTTCCTGCTGTTGGTCTTCAGCTGTGAAATTAAAGTCATAATCCGCATGTTCCACATGTAAGCCTCTGCGAGGACATGCGGCCGATCAAGGAGGGATCCGTGCAGGTCTACCAGGCGCAGGGTTTCGAGTGCGCGTAGAACCTGGCAACCTCATGGTCCAAAGCTTCATCAACTTGTAACACTCTGGGAAACCCAGTCTAGGGTTTAGGGTTTAGGGTTTAGGGTTTAGGGTTTAGGGTTTAGGGTTTAGGGTTTAGGGTTCAGCTTACCCATCCGACCCAGCCTACGAGCCTGAAGACCCTCCCGAAGACCTTCCGAATGGCCAATGCATCCGGTTGCTTGACAGGCACTCGTCCGCTCCAGCTGGCTCTTTCGCCGCCGGGCGGGTGTGCCTTGGCCTGCGGGAGTTTGAGATTTCTAAACCCTAAACCCTAAACCCTAAACCCTAAACCCTAAACCCTAAACCCTAAACCCTAAACCCTAAACCCTAAACCCTAAAACCTAAAAACCCTAGACCCGAAACCCCACCATCCTCGAATCCTCAAGCCGTGGGTGGCCATGCAGCATGCAGTTTTTGAGGAGTGCTGGAACGATTTAGGGTGTAGGGTTTGGGGTTTAGGGTTTGGGGTTCTAGGGTTTAGGGTTTAGGACTTCAACTAAAAAAGTCGTGTTGGGCAGCTTCCTCCTTAACGAGACATCTCGAATCGCTTTGGGCCAGCTCTTGGGATCCCGGGTTTCACTTTCGCCACCAAGAGGCACGACACCAAACCCCGGAGTCCCTGTGCAGCACCCAAGTCTCCTCTTCCGCGACTGCCATAGGGCTCGGAATCATCACTAAGAGTCTTCCCTTATGGTCCCTTCAAAAAGATACTCTAAGAAACCCCTGAGAACCCCATTCCAATCCTTAAGGCCCCCTTTTTTTACCCATTTACACTCCGAACGGAAAGCGGAAGTGGCGCAGTGCAGGTGGGAATCTTCCTCGAGCGCTTCGTCACGAACCTGCTGATGCCCCTCAGCCAGGTTCAGGGTTTAGGGTGCCGGGTTTAGGGTTTAGGGTTTACGGTTTAGGGTTTAGGGTTCGGGAGTCCGGGCTGTAAAGCTGCTCCCCTGCAGAGTTGGGGGGGTTGGAGGTTGAGGCCTTAGGGTTTGTCGGGATCGCGGACGACTCAGCAAACGGCTCAGACCCCGAGCTCCCCTAAGCCCTGCACATGCTCCTAAACTTACAGCTTGAGTCTTCACAGCGCAATGCGCAGCACAGGTGCGCAGAGAAGCAATCTACGGAGCAGACTGGCGCAAGCCTCGATCCACGAAAACGTGTGAGTAGAGCCGAAAGGACCGCATCGGAGTTTGTAAAAGCCCAGTAGACTCAACAGACCGTCGACCGTAGTTGTACATAAATCCACCTCGGCAACAGCCATCTCTGCCCGCGGCTGTGTGCACGATGCTGCGGGTGTGGATGGCTTCCGGGGTGGAGCACGCTGTGGCCCTTGAGCAGCTGGCAGACTCAGAGAGGACACCGGAAGCTTCCGCCGCCTTTTTGGGCTTCGGCTGTTACGGTGGTAGGTAAGTTCGGTCATGTTGATGGTAGGGTTCAGGGCCCCCTGTCGTCCCAAGTGCAGGACTGCAGAGAGACCTGTGCTGGCCTTGATGCTTGGGTTTGTTATTTCCCTGGGTTTAGGGTTTAGGGTTTAGGGTTTAGGGTGTTTTCGCTATGTGTTCTGCCCAGCAGTGCTTGCATCTCCATTCCCTGCGTGAGAAGAGCGTAGGGCCATCCCGGAAAGCGTGAAGCCGAGGAAGCAGCATCTGAGCAAGCTCTGCGGCGTGCCGCGCTTTCGGCAGCGGCTTCTGTGTGGAAGCACCTGTCTGCAGGACAGCCTCAAACATCCAAGGCTTTAATACAGGGGTCGGAATAATCACGAAGAGTATTCCCCGGTGGTCCCTATAATTTTTTTTATATTAACCCCCCAAAAACCCTATTCTAATGTTTTTTGAGGCACCTATTTTAAGCCATTGGGGGGGGGGGTTAAGGAGCGAGGGTTCCCCAAGCATCCCCCGGAAGCTCGAAGGGCCAAAGTGCTGAGCCGTCGCTGAGCTCGCATGAGCGCCGCGCGCGAGACTGGGCTCCCCTAGACGGGCCCTAAACCCTAAACCCTAAGCCCTAAGCCCTAAACCCTAAACCCTAAACCCTAAACCCTAAACCCTAAACCCTAAACCCTGAACCCTAAACCCTAAACCCTAAACCCTAAACCCTAAACAAACCCTGAACCCTGAACCCTAAACCCTAGAGGGAGCCATTGCATTAAAAAAACCTAAACCCTGAACCCTGAACCCCGACACCCTACACCCTAAACCCTACAAGTTGTGACCTCGGCGGTGGTAAGACTGGAGTTTCCGTTTTCATGCGACTCGGATGTTCTTAAGTTCCAGGGCGCTGGAATCAAAGCCCTATGCCTCAGCTTGGAACGAGGGCTCAGCTTGTCCAGGACTGCGAGAAGCTGGAGCCGAGTCAAGAACTGCAGCTTGTGCTGTTGCCCTTCGCCGAAACCTCCAGCGAGCAGGCAGGGCTTTTCAGAATGCTCAGGATTCTGATGTCTTCCCAGGCTTAGGGCTACCGTCAATCCTATCTGTCCTATCCATGTTGCAATTCACAATGCACACAAGAAATCGCTCAAGCTGCAACGCAGGGCCGCGGGCTGTGCCGGGCTGCCATGCAGGGCCAGGAGGAAGAGGTGGAGCGGCACCTTGGCCGTTGTTTCAGTCGTTGTTACTGAGTGGAGGGCCAGCAGGATCGTAGGGTCTCAGGGGATCGAGAAGGTTTGACCCGTTCTTGAATGCTAGTTCTTTGTACAGGGTGTTGAGGGGGTTTGAGGTTTCGGCGACTTAGCCATGTGGGGGAGCATGTACTTCTAACCAGGGCGACTGTCGGGTAAGTGTAGAGCTGTACACAGCAAAGCCCCAAGGCTTCTTTGGATGAGAGCAGCGAACAGCAGCATGAGGGCCTAGCACTTCTCCGCAAAATGAGCTGCGAAGCCTCTCGCGTGCGCGCGCGCGAGCGCGACCTCATCGGACACCTCAGGCCGCCCACGCCCTGAAGCCATCAACCCCAAGGCTTGCGCTGCATTCTTCTAGCCCCTCTTTGGCCCTTGAAATTCCGAAGCCCAAGCGCAAAGCTGAACAAAAGTAGAGAAAAAGACCCGAACCTCGGAACCTTAAGGCCTGAAACCTGAAACCCCACGCAGCCGAGGATGCTTTCCCTCCCGCAAGATCCGGAAGCGCAGGCTTCACAGGGGGTCAGCTGAACTGCACGCAGATACTCCGGAAGAAAAGGGTTCTTGAGGTTCATGAGGTCGTGCTGAAGCCCTGGGATGCGGGGATGTTAGGGTCTTCTTTGCAGGATAGAGGTGGAAAGAACTTTGGGGGAACGGTCCAACCTCAGCTCTCTACCCTCAACCCCCCGAAAAACACAGTGCTTCCAGAAATTCGACTGGCAGAAGGCCTTCTGCATTCTCGATGCGGAGCCCCTCTTGCAGGAGTTGGATCTCAGCGATCTCAGCTACAGATTCCACATGATCACGCCCCTCTTGGCAACCTCCGGGGGCGGCTCCATCGAAGCTCGGCTCAGCTTACGGGGTCGGAAGTACGCCCTTATGGTCCCTTTATCAGTATGCTATAATAATCCCCAAAACCCTATGTTCATTGTTACGGCCCTTTTACTACTCCTGCTTGCTGTGCTGGCAAACCCCCCTCGACCATGCCCTTCATGCTGAGGATTCCGAGGACTTTCAGACAAGACCCTTAAACCTAAGCTCAGGAGAAGGCCATGGAATCTTACGTAAGAAGCTTCTAGTCTCTTTGTTGGGACCCTTCACCTCTGCCACGCTGTCACGCACGTTGAGACTCATGAGCCGGCCTTCGAAATTCCCCTGTCGCGCCCTGCGTCTGGCACCTGTTCACGGAAGCATGACTTGTGGAGTTTTCTTGCTTTTGTTTTTGTTTTTTGTTGTGTGTGGTTTTTCGGCTCCTTGATCCTCTTGTCCTGCGGTTTCATGGTCCTCTGCCCCTGGTCCTCTGCTCTCTTGGTCCCTTGGTCTCGTGGTCCTTTTGGCTCCCGAAACCCGAAGAAGCTGTAGGCCTTCGGTTGCACATGCATATATATATATATATATATATATGTACGTATGTACAATTTATGTATTCATATACGTAGGACACACACACACACACGGTGCACATTATGCATGATAATATATATATATATGCATATTATGTATGCACCACTCCCTCCCACGGATCTATTGTTCTCGGTGTGTACAGCAAGACAAAAGCCACCCTAATTTAAACAAGCCTGGTCTGAATAACGCTCGTCTTGTCAGTCTTACCTCCCCCCTAGACCCGACGCCCAAACCTAGGCCAACAATCGTAGTCGGCTTTCCCACTTCTTCAAGCGCGAAAACCAAGGCAGTTGCCCGACTTCTCCTCGAGGCACGTGCGCACCCGGACAAGGGCAGCGAGACCACCACGCCCCTTGTGAAGGCCGCGGGTTGAGGGCTTAGGCTCCGAAAGATCGGCGGTGCTGAAACACACGCCATCCCAGACTGAAATCTTCCTTGAAGCCTCGAAAGTTCCGATGCTTGGGCATCAGAGGCCTGCAGGATGGGCCATGTGGAAGTGGCGCAGGCGCTGCTGCAGGCTGGCGCTGACAAGGAGGGGAGGTGAGATGGGGAGAGATTATGTGGGGGTTTGGGGTACCTTCCTAATGCAGGGGAATCCTATTATTTGGGGGCTGGTTTAAGGGTCCCTTATGTTCGCAAACTCCCGTTCTATTACATGTGTGTATTGTGATATGAATATGTTACTATACATTTTGTTCATGTTCGTACATGATCATATTACATTCATCTAGGACTACACGGGGGAGATATTGGGGATGGAGGGAGGATGCATCTGGCCGTCTTTGCAAGCTGCTCGAGCTGCTATCTTCCTGGAAGGACAAGTGTGGCGAGTGTGGCTTTGGCAACCTCACACCGCTGGCGGTGTCGGCTGAGCTCGGCCAGGCTTTCCACGGTGGGTTTGGTGTTTTGCATTGTGTGGGGGGGTTTACGAAAATAGATAGTCCCCCAAATCGTAGGATTCCCTTATAGTGAGGACCCCAAAATGGTACCCCAAATTTCGGAAGCCCCCTTGTGTTGCATTGGAAATCTGGCCCATGGCCATGCTCGGAGTAGCTGCCAGCATCCATACAAGTAGCGGCCCAGGTGGAACTCGTGCGCATCCTTCTGGATGCGCGCGCCGATCCGGACAAGTACGGAGACGTCGATGTCACGCCACTTGCCAGAGCTTGTCGCCATGGATCGGAGGCCGTTGCACGCCTGCTGCTGGCTGCCGGAGCTGAGAAGGACAAGGACGGCAGAGGGACTTTTCGCTTCTCCTTCGCAGCCGACACTGCCAAAGCCAAAGCAGGCTGGACACCGCTGGTGGAGGCGGCTCAGTATGGCCATGGGGATGTTGTGCAGCTACTTCTTGAGGCCAAAGCAGACAAGGACAAGTTCAGCCACGGCTGCACTGCCCTAGGCAAGGCTTGTGAATACGGATATGTGGAGGTCGGGCGCTTGCTTTTGCAACACAGCGCTGACCCAGACAAAGCCAGCGGCCACATCACACCCCTGACCTGGGCGGTGCGGCAGGGAACTGTGGAGTTGGCGAAGCTGCTCCTGGATGCGGGTGCGTGTACAGGCCAGGACAGCGACAACCTGACCCCCCTCGCCTGCGCTGCCCGGAAAGGCGACTGTGACATGGCCTTGCTCTTGTTGGAATTCAAGGCGAACGTGGACTTGGGATATTTCAAGCCCTTGCTGGAAGCATCCCAGCAAGGGCACCCCACCATGACCAGTCTTCTGCTACAGGCCCGCGCCGACCCCAACGCGGGATGCTGGATGCCTTTGGTGGAAGCAGCGCAGGCGGGCCACGTGCAAGTCGTGCATCAGCTACTGGCCGCCAGGGCGGACACGGAGAAATGCGGCAACTCCGACTTGACGGCTTTGGCCAAGGCCGTGGAGAGCGGCCGCACTGACATCGTGGATCTGCTCGTAGCAGCGGGGGCTCGCAAAAAGAGGCTGCAAGGGTGCCATGACCCTCCTCGCAAACCCGAGCTCTCAAAAGGGTTGAGAGGTGGCAGGGAGGTACCAGGTCCTACTTATTGGAAAAGTGGGTCCTGCATTCTGGAGTGTGAGCTTTCTCCGGCTGTGGAGAATTTGTGTGATAACATCGCAGGAGGAGCGCTTCATGAGTAGAACCCTAGTGGCATCCAGCCCAAGAGTGTCCAAGAGCCAGAGCCCCCAAGAGCCCCCAAGAGCCCCCAAGAGCCCCCAAACCCTAAACCCTAAACCCTAAACGGCCCCCAATAGCTCCCGCCCCTATTCTCTGGTTCAGCACCCTGGCCCTGAAGCAGTCTAAGTCCAAGGCTGGGCTTCTTGCACGAGGTCTACTTCCAGCACTTTGGCGCCCCTCGGTTTAGGGTTTAAGGGTTTTAGGGTTTCGGGTTTAGGGTTTAGGGTACGCATAGGGTTTAGGGTTTAGGGTTTAGAGTTTAGGGTTTTAGGGTTTTGGGGTTTTAGGGTCGCCTGGGTTCGCCGGGGCTCGGGGCTTTTGTGGGGGGTGTTACTCCGGGCTGACTCGGGGTGCTCAGCTCTGACCGGGTGGGAGAAAGGCATGGGCCCCTGGGGTTTGAACTGTCGCCCCTCAAACCCGAAACCCTAAACCTACTAACCCCTAGACCTTAACTTAAACCCCCGAAACCTCCTAACTCCGAAATCCCTAGACCCTAAACCCTAAACCTCCTAAACCCTAAACCTCCTAAACCCTGAACCTTAAACCCTGAACCTTAAACCCTAAACCCTAAACCCTAAACCCTAAACCCAATGAAAAAAGCATTTTCCCAGGTCGACTCCGCCTGCCTCCGACTGGAGAAGCGTGTGCGGCTGCTTCCTGAAGAGGCATCACCAGCTCCACGTGCCGTTTCGGGACCTGAGGTTTAAGAGACCTTACAGGGTTTAGGGTTTAGGGGTGTTTAGGGGTTTAGGGTTTAGGGTTTAGGGTTTGGGGTGTTTAGGGTTAGGGAGTTTAGGGTTTAGGGTTTAGGGTCTGTTTAGAGGAACATGTGTAGGCCTGCCAAACCAGCCAGGTTTGCGAGTTTCCCGCCCCGGGGGTTCATAGTGTGTCCCCAACTCTGACGTCGGCTCAGTGGCACTGCAAAAAACGTTGATTCGAGGCTCGCCCGCTGAATGCCCGAGTTCCTAAAAAGTCACATAACGATACAAGACCCCAGACGTTGAAAACCCCTGAGCTCCGAAACCCTAAGTCCCCACCAGAGCCTCCCATCTAAGGGCAGCTTCATGGGCCCTTAATGTGCTCCCTTACCTCCTTTAAAGGGTTCTGAAGCATGGGCCCTTGGGTTGTGTAGGGTATATGAGGGGTATATGCGAGGTCCCCTTTCAAGGGCCCATACCAAGGGACCATGAAACTACCCTAAGATCCCAAATCCCCAAACTCCTTTGCCTCTCCCAGGAGTTGGAGAAGCTGTGCGGCGTGCCCCTCCCTGCAGCCAGAGATGTCCAGGGTCCGCTTTGCGCAATGCTTCAGGGAGTTACAATGTGATGTTGCTTTAAGCCTTAAGTAGGTGGCAAAGTTGCCAAGTCTCCGTGAACCCTAAAGCCCTAAAACCCGAAAATGCAAAAACACTAAAACCCTTAAACCCGCAAACCCTAAAACCCCACACCCGAAGGACCTTCAACCCAAGCTCTTGTAGCCCAAGGACTGCTACACCCTGGGCACATCTCACCTTTCGAGGCGTCATGTTGGGGGCTGGGGTGTAGGATTTAGGTTTCAGGGTTTAGGGTTTGCAAGGGCTTGCCAAGGGTTTCTAAGGGTTTCCAAGCATTTCCAAGATTTTGCAAGGGCTTCAAAGGGTTTCAAAAAGTTGCAAAGGGTTTCAAGCAGTTGCACAGGGGTTTCAAAGGGTTTCAAAGGGTTTGCAAAGGGTTTCAAAGGGTTTCAAAGTACCTGCACATGCTCTGTTGAAGCTGCCCTCACAGTGCCAGCCTTTGCCCCCAAGGGCTCTGCCCTCCCCCCCATCTTCGAGTCCTTACAACCATCTTATCCCCTGAGCTCGGGACCATTGACTCTAAAACCCTAAAACCCTAAAACCCTAAAAACCCTAAAACCCTAAACCCCTAAAACCCCTAAAACCCTAAAGCCCCAAAAGCTCCTGTCCTAACTCTGCTTCCCCCCTGCTTCAGGGTGAAGGACTTCAAGGTCCGGGCCCTGGCAGCGGTGGCGGACGCAGAGGCGCAGGCGACGGGCCGGTGGGGTACAGGTGTGGAAGGTACGGTGGCTTCTACTCTTTGCTGATAAGAACCCACAAATAGTCCAAAAGACTCTTCCTTAAATAGGTAAGGGCTTGTTGTCCTTCATTATGGGGGTCGCACATAGTAGTCTTAGGGCAACCTTTCAGGTGGCCATCGGCGTTTATGGGCTGTGAAGGGCTCTTCGCCTTGGATTGTGGGCTTCCAGTTGGCTGCCAGCAGCTCCTGGTACCAAGCCCTGAGCCCAATTACTACCGTTCGAGTTAGGGTTAGGGGTTCAGGGCGCCGGCGCTTGTCAAGGGGCAACCTCTGGAAAAAGAGGAGGGGTTGTTGTGGGGAACTCCTCCTATCATCTGCATCTTCCACCCGACTTATCAGCTTCGATCCCCTTTGGCCCCTAAAAAACGTTGTTGGGGGGTATTCAGAACCTACAGGCCTTCTGGGGGTGCCCCCTGGGAGGTCCCGGGAAGTCGGCGGGGCCGAAGTGGTTGTAGGACTTGAGGACTTGAAGCTGCTGGGCTGGGGTGGGGCTCAGGGTCAATGAGTTGCTCAGCGGTTGGAAAAGAGGTCCAGGCGCCAGCACGTCGTTGCCATGTTCCGAAACTTGGGGCATTGTTGCCGCAAGGCTCGGGTCAAGAGCGCAGTGAGCAACAGGGCCACAAGCCCTGGGCCCCCAGAGCCTTGCCAGGCTTTGCCCGCCGTAGCCGCGCAGGCGGAGGAGTCCCGGGCTTCCGGTGTTCTTTGAGGCTTGCAGTAGCCATGATGTTTTCTCCTCACCCTCTCAGTGCGTAAGTTGTTTTGGCCAGGACAACGTGAAGCGGGCTCTGTCCCTCCGAAGCCGCGAGAGGAACCAAATGATCCGGATGCAGGGCGCGGGGCCCTGGGACCATGTACTTTTCACCTGTCCTTTCACCTTGCATCTGAGTCAAGATCCTCACGTGATTGGGGTGGGGCGTGCGGCGGTTTTTTTTGGTGGAGTAGTACGCGGCGAAGCGCATGACTGACGATCCTGGGTTGCTACATGGACATGCTGCTGCACTACTTATGCTAACGGTCCGAAATCGGGAGTGTAGTAACCCCCCCCATAAAAATCCCTATTAAGGACTGATAGTATATCGGGGAACATCCCAAGTGTCGAGTCTCAAGTGTCCGGGCGGCGTTTGACCAGGTCAATGTTGACACACTTGTCAATTGTCAAGGTTTTGGCCCGGCATATGAGCCGAAAGTCCATGGCGTTGGGGACTCCTTGGGGCCTCCCCGAGTACTGTCCTCATGAGGTTTGAAACCACGACTGGAAACTCAGCCTGCAGTCTCTGTCCTCGTTCGCCCACTGCTGCAGAAAGGGTGCGCGGCCTGTGCGACTTCCACTCCTCATGGCACTTCGCTCTTCTTGGTTGGTCCTTATTCCGTTCCTTTGTTCAGCTTGGCGTACGCAGACCTCTCAGCCCTGCTACACCCTCAGCCATGAACCTTTCCATCCACCAGCTCTGTTTTGCAACAGCTGGCCCTGGGCCACATCTTCAACCCGCCATCCCCTGGCAGATGAAAGAGGGCATACCAAGCCCCAGATCACCCCCCTTAAACCCTAAACCCTAAACCCTAAACCCTTTTCCCCTAACGCACCGAGCCTGAAGCCTACAGCAGACGAAGGCCTCAACTCTGAGGGAGCCTGGTCGCGACAGGCCGATATCCCCTCGGAGCCTCGGAAGCGGCTTAGGGTTTAGGGTTTAGGGGTTAGGGTTTAGGGGGGTTTAGGGTTTAGGGTTCAGGGTTTAGGGTTTAGGGTTTAGGGTTTAGGGGACCTATGTGTGAGTTTTTTTTGTGCTCATCCGGGCTTATAGGACTTGTGCGGCGGATGGGTAGAAAGACCATGGGCCGCTCATGAAAAGGAGCTACCTTAGTAGCTAACTTAGCAGCCCGAGGAGTTGGCTAGTGCAGAGGGCAGCCATAGCCCAGCAATAGCCGAGCCCCCAAAGGCGAAGCCTAAAACCTAAAGCACCCAAACCCTGAACCCCGAATCCAAGCCTGAAGCCTGAGCCCTAAACCCCAAACCCTAAACCCTAAACCCTAAACCCTAAACCCCAAACCCCAAACCCTCAACCCTAAACCCCAAACCCCAAACCCTAAACCCTAAACCCTAGGCGCCCCAAAAACCCTGCAAGTCTGCAGCCGAGGACCACGAGAGTGACCGAGAAGCCCCGAGCTCTAGCGACGAGGAGCAGGATGAGGCCAGACGTGTGACGTGTCTGTGTCGTGCATTGGCTTGGGCTTTATATGGGCCTTGAGGAAGGGCGTTCATGGTGTACATGTTGTTCTTGTTCTGGTGTGCATTGTTGGACAAGTTGGGCCTAACGCACTTGCGGGAGCAGGCACTGCCAGGTTTCTGGCAGGCGATTTGGAGTACTCTCAACCACCGCGGTGATCTCGCAGTGCCAGCGGTTGCATCGATATTGAACCTACATCCCCCTTGAGGAGTTATTTTTCATTTTTGTTCATATGAAACCCCAAGAGGATATAAGAATATTATGTTATATTCAGGTTCAAGAAGATTATTTTTACTAAGGTTCTAAGAGGAGTATAGAGACGAGGGTTTTCTCACAGCAGGCCGCAGTCTCCGTGCACCTCCCCACATTAAAAAGCCCCTGAGCCAAAGCAGGCCAATGGTGCGGCCCAGGGTTTTACCAAGGCTTGTTGTCAGGCCCGAACGGCTTTTGGGAAAGATGCCCCGAACATCCCCAACCCCTGAACCCTAAACCCCAAACCCAAACCCCAAGCCCCAAACCCCCAACCCCAAACCCCAAACCCCAAACCCTGTCTTAGTGCCCTTCCTGGCCCTCCAGCAGCGCCAGTCGGCGACGCCGCCACCAGCGCCCAGCTTCTGCGACATCTCGCCGAGCAAGCCCTGAGTCCGAACATGCTAGAGCACAGGTGAACATACTGTTTGGGGTTTAGGGTTTAGGGTTTAGGAGTACACTAGATAGACTCTTGCTGGACTGCTTCAGGGGTCGAATCGTTCAGGGCTTTCTTCCCTGCCGGGTCCCTCTTCTAAGGCTTGGCGCACCCGCGTTGCTGGATGTTGCCTGCGAAGCCCTGGCAGGGGGGGGCGGAGGGCTTAGGGTTTAGGGGCTTAGGGTTTAGGGGTTTAGGGGTTTAGGGGTTTTGGGGTTTTGGGGTTTTGGGGTTTTGGGGTTTTGGGGGCTTTAGGGGTTTTAGGGGTTTTTGGGGTTTTAGGGGGTTAGGGGTTTTAGGGTTGAGGGGCTTTGGGTTTAGGGGTTTAGGGCTTAGCTTAGGGAAGGGTCGCGCATCGGAGCATCGCTAGTGTGACTTGCATCCTCTTGAAGCAAGGCTCGTGTATTCTTCTGTGTGGTGTTTGCGTCTTTCTTCTTGATTTCTTGCAGGATTTCTCGCTCGCAATGGGATTTGACTCGCGTGCTCCTGTGGATCGTGGGTTTGAGCAGTTAGCTGAGTGCAGCAGTTTCTGTTTGCCTTCACGTAGCCGTGGCTCGTTTATCCTAGCTCTTGATGGGTCTGTTGGGAGAACAAGAAGAGAGTTCTCATCGATAAACACAGGCCCAGCGTACGATGAACTCTAAAAAACCTGTGGGTTGTTTAGCTTACAGATGCTTACAGCGTTCAACGCCACAGGCTTGAATGGACCTAACCAAGCGCTGACACCAAAGCCTCTTTGGGTTCGAACCAAAAACGGGGGTGCGTTCGGTTGCTGGGCTCGCTTGCCTGTCAATCTTGAATCGGGTTTCAGCCTCATGTCGGGGCTCGGTTGCAGCATCGGTACGTCCAAGTTGTCGCCTAAGTGAGCCGCAAACAACCGCAATGCTCTGAAGCTCTGAACCATAGGCGAGTACAGTTCTATTAACCTTTCTCATTCTCAGCCTGAAACCTTCTCTGTGGTGCTTTACCGTAACTTTAGATCCTTAGCCTTTTTTGGGTTTTTTGGGTTTCTTAATAAGGCAGCTAAAAAATAGATTTATAGCTACCCTGCTAAGTGCAGCCAAATCGTTAAGCCCCTGAAGCTGGCGACCAAAAAGATCCAACTCAAGAGGCGGGCAGTGGGCGAGTGCCGGCCAACAGCCCCGCGGTCTCAGCATCGTTGTCGAGGCGCGGGTTTCTCCAAAGACTTAGGCCCCCAAGAGTTGTGGGTGTTTCCTAGGTAGGATAAGGGGGACCCCTTGAAAGGGAACCCTTCTTAACCCTCTTCTGGCTCTCTTAAACAGCTTATTCAGAGGGTCTACATCCCCAAGGGTCCCCCTAATCCTATCCCCTAGGATGTGGGTGTCAGTGCTTTTGCATCGCTTGAAGAGTATTCAGGGAGGATCGGGCCACCCCTGGAATCCTAGACAGCCTGGACTCCATCTTGTCCGGCCTTGACTTTGGAGCCGTGCAGGTTGCATCAATGAAGAGCTAGAGCTTGGATAAGTGGCTTCTGTGTTTACAGAGTTGCCCACCCGTACTGTACTTCTCTTACTTCTAAGAGGGCACCTTGGCCCGCCTCCAAAGCCCCCAACGCCCTCCACATCCCCAAAAACTCTGAAGCCCGGAAGTCACTAACTTACAGCAGCAGCCCTGGAACTGTCTGATTTTCTCACCCTATTTTTGGGGGGCTAACCCGCAACCTTGTAGGGGTCCTTACTATAAGGGGATCCTACTATTTGGGGTCTTTATAAATAAATAAATAGATAAATATCAATATATATATATGTATGTATATATTTATATATATTTATATTTATAAGGGCCCCTTATCTTCGTAATTTTGCAGCACGGCAAGGCCCTCCGCGAGCCGCTTCGCTCGGGGCGCGGCGACGAAGGAGGACTGGACCCGCCGCTTGCCTTCACGCCCTTCAGGCTCCCAGGCCTTGAAAGGAGAAAACGGCCAAGTCTGGGAGTTTACGAAAGTAAGGGATCCCTATAATAGACCCCCAAAGAGTAGGATTCCCTTAGAACAAGGACCCCAAGAAGGTACCCCCTGCTATCGGAAACTGCTGGGTACCTTGTTCAAGACGCGGGAGCTAAACGGGACTGAATCCTACAGAGTCTCCCGTCAGCAGCCTTGAGATTCTGGGGCTCTGGGAGGCCTGGTGGCTGCCCCTAAACCCTAAACCCTAAACCCTAAACCCTAAACCATATAGGGGTCGGAATAGTTACCAAGAATGTTCCCCTTATTGTGGTCCCTTTGTAAGAATACTATAGTAACCCAATTCTAATTATTCAGGCCCCTATAATATAACTTTAACGCACTTTCACACGATGTGGTCTTGGGCGGGGCCAACGCCAGTTCGGGTGGTTCCAAACAGCAGTTCGCAGCGAAAAGCAGAGCAACCTGAGAGTCTTCGGGTTTAGGGTTTAGGGTTTAGGGTTTAGGGTTTAGGGTTTAGGGGCCGGGAGGTTGATGATGTGAGGTTCAGGCTGCTGACTTCCAGAGGGGTCTGCCTCCGGTGCAATACGGTGCGCGGCCCTGTGCAGCCTTAGGGTTTAGGGTTTAGGGTTTAGGGTTTAGGGTTGCCCCTGGGAGAAGCCCGCATTTTCCCTCCCCAAACACAGACGTACTAGACAAGATGTAGTCACATCATGTTATATCAGGTATAGCATATTTTAATTCCTCGACATGCTTTGACCTGAAAAAGCCTGCAGTGCTTTGGCGGATCTTTGGGGTCCCTAAACCCTAAGCCCTACGCCCTAAACCCTAAACCCTAAGCCCTAAACCCTAAACCCTAAACCCTAAACCCTAAATCCTTTACGGGCCGCCATCTTGCCAAGGCCTTGTGCACAAGGCCAACACCTTCATCCTCCGCTCCTACGTGGCCATGGCGGAGCGCGAGCCGATCACGAAGTGCGCGTTTAGGGTTTAGGGTTTAGGGTTTAGGGATTAAACCCTAAACCCTAAATGTGTTGAGGTTTGCATGCTCAGGTAGGTTCACGAGAAGGGTTGTGCGACTCTGGGTTCAGGCTCGCCAGTAGCAAGACGTTGCTGCCAACAGCATGGAAGGGGAGGAGCGATGAGGAACGATGAACTGGGGAACCCTAGGCCCTAAGCCCTAAACCCTAAACCCTAAACACTAAACACAAGGATACAAAGGAGCCATCTGCAGGGGTCAGCAGATTCGGACGGTTGTGCTTTCGAAGCCTTTCGCGGGCCTAGAGGCCTAACACGAACCCTTTGAGTTCTTCGGGCAGGACTCGCCTAACCGCATGCGGATGCTCCACGCAGCTACTAGGATCATTTCTCCTAGGCCTACGACCGCACATGATTCACAGAGGTATGTGGAGGAGGCCACCCGAGCTTTCCTGGACGCCTGGGAGTTCGGGAGCTTGCATCTTGCCTTGAGACAGACAGGGTCCATGTGACTTGTCATTGGATGTCGCCGTGCTCAGTGCCTGGCCGAATGCCCTATTAGAACCGGGAAATGTATGATTTGGGAGCCTGAAAGAATCCAGCTAGTTGCCTGGGAGCGCTGAGTTGACTTGAGCAGTTTGACAAGGGCGCGGGCGATGGAGGGAGCGCGGCTTCGGTGCTCAGTGTGGTTTGCCGAGAAACTTGCACGAGCAAAACCCGGGTCGGCTGCGCACCCCCGAAGCCACAACCCGAAAGACTTCAATTCCTGCAGCTGCTGCAGCATCAACGTTCCAAAAAGCAGCTGCAGCCTTGTTACAGACTCCAGTTGTTGCTTTGGATGTTCCCCCTTACGCCAAATCTGCAAGCATGCAGCATGCCATCACCCCCAAGGCGATTTCTTAGAAGTTCGTCCCGGACCTTCAGTCAATCAAGAATCGGCACCAAAATCCAGAGGACCCTTCGGGGCCTAAACAGGTGTGGCGTTGTTTTGGATCCTGTGCCGAGGAAGGAGGACCCCGTAGTGGCCCAGCTCATCCTGGACAAGGCGTCGGCGTAGATCTGCTGGGAAGCAGCAGTCAATTCAAAGTCCACAGGCTTCCCTCCCTCGAGACCCAACGTGATGGATTTGAGAAATTGCAGTAGTCCGGAATCATCCTGGTGTTTTGCAAGAAACTTCCATTCCAGTGTTTAGTCGTTTCTTGCACAGATTGCCAAGAACTCGGAGGTCAGGACGAATCTCACCCGATACCCTAGACCCCAACATCCTAAACCGAGGCCCCAAAAAGTCCTAAAAATGTAAGACAACAAACTTTCGCCCAAAACGTTCGCTGAAAGCTTTCGCCCAAAACCCGCCCAAAACCCACCCAAAACTCCGGACCTGAACCCTATATACAGTGTCTATAGCCCTAAACCCCACTTGAAGCTTGCAAGTTTCGGGGTTTAGGCAAGTTTGGATCAGCGTGGGCACCAAGCCTCGCGATGCAGGTCAAGGGCCAGTACAACAAGCACCTCTCCAAGGCCGCAGCGTCTTCTTTTGGGGTTTAGGGTTTAGGGTTCAGGACGCTTTCAACTTTCAACTTTCGACCCTGAGCCCACCTACCTGCACATGCAAAAGTCTTCAGGCCTAAGCCATCCATCTTGGGCCATCAGGGCAGCAGTGGGAGTGCTTTGCGGGCACGTTTGGGATGCCTCCACACCTCGATACCTCTTCGGCTGCGGCGGTCTGGTGGTTTTCAGGCCTTGCAGAGGGCACCTGGGTATGTTCCGCCGTGGCCAAGTGTGCGAAGTTGCTGGGGTGTTGTGTTACTTACTGTTAGTTGTGGGGTGCAGAACTTCAGAGCAAGGCCGGGCCCTAGTGAAAGTCACGGCGTGGAACGGCTTCACCTACTTGACAAGGGTCCTGCAATGGCACAGTTCCCGTTTCCGAGCGTCCGCGAATCGTGAACCACTCACTGCAGCCATCTGCGGTCTAAAGCCACCCCTAAACCCTAAACCCTAAACCCTACAACCTAAACCCTAAACCCCAAACCCCAAACCCTAAACCCTAAACCCTGAACAGCCAAAGCCCTGAGGCTCTGGCTTGCCTTGACCTGCAGAGCGTGGACGACTTGCGGGCGGCGGTGCCTTGGCTGAACGCCGTAAGCCCCAGAAGTTCCAGAAGCCCCAGAGTCTTGTGAGCTTAGGCGGGTTTAGGGTTTAGGGTTTCGGGTCTAGGGTTTAGGGTTTAGGGTTTAGGATTTAGGGTTTAGGGTGGCTTTCAACCTTACTACTCTGTCCAACAAATTTGCGCTTGGGTATCCTGAGCTTACGATGGTGTTGTAGGCAGCCCGCGTGTAAAACGAAACCTTCGCATCGTGCGAGGGATGGTTGCGGACGAGACTGGGGATTGGTTACTTCACTGTCTCAGCCGGCTGACCTCCAGCACCCCACAAAACCGAGAGGGGTTCAACCTGCGGCTGCATAGTCAAACGTCAAAACCTGAACAGCTCCGAGCTTCAGCCGGCTGAGGCTGAAGGCAGCGCGGGATACGGCCCGGAGATTCAGCCCCCTGGCCGGGTTTGAGCGTTTGTTGGTTTAGGGGTGTTAGGAGTTCAGGGGCACAAGATAGTGCAGGCTTTTGGGGCTCACGTTTCCCGCAGTTGAAGAGGAGTTTGCAACCAGGTCCTAGGTTTCCAACTGGGTGCGTCGTGCGCAACTGGGAAAGAACCAAGGTCATGCAAAAATGCTACCATCCACCATCATCATTCATGTATTGTAAGAGTACGTGCTACGATGTTGATCCTTTTGCTGCTGCTTTCTTATCTGGGGTTGGGGCCCTCCTGGGACACGAGACTGTCGGTGGATTTTTTTTTTGTGGGGGTGGGTTGCTCTAACTGTGGGGGTTTAGGGTTTAGGGTTTAGGGTTTAGGATGTGGGAGAAGGGGGCCTGGGTCAGCTGCCCCACATGGCCCACACATTAGAAGAGTCTTCTTAAGAAAGAAGAAAGCAGCAGTCGCCGCCAGAGAGCATCCCTGGAGTGCCAACGGGTTTAGGGTTCAGGGTTTAGGGTTTAGGGTTTAGGGTTTAGGGTTTAGGATTATGCCGACAGACGTGTCCCCACAGCATCCCGGGAGCGCGACTTCGTCTCAGAGGGGGGATGCTCGAGGCAAGCAATCTGGCGTTTGAGGCTTCGGAACCCCTAAACCCTAAACCCTAAACCCTAAACCCTAAACCCTAAACCCTAAACCCTAAACCCTACACCCTAAACCCCCCCCTAAACCCAGTATGGTGCGGGGGTGTAGCAGTAGCTTGGTAGCCCAGTGGTACCCTTTACCCATTTTTTTTGGGTTAGGTTCCCTTCCAAAATAGCCAACCCCAAAAAGGGTGCCCTTGTTATGGTATGGTTACTGGGCTACCAAGGTAGGGGTTTCAGGCTTAGGACTGGTCGGGCCAAGCTAGGCTGATGGAACCAGCCGTGGCGAAGATGATGATGCTTGGCTGCCAGTGAACTGACTGTCATGGCTCAGATGTGTTCAGTGAGAATCTGAGCCGTACTCAACATGAACAACTAATTGCTTAAGAACCCCCCCCAAAATAAAAGATATTCTTCCTTGTTAAGGGATTATTATCTTTATTCTTTTGGGGTTCTTAAGCAAATAGTAGTGAAGGTAGGGTTGACTCGGCTTGAGATCTGTAGTCGACCGCACCCGGGGGGTGGGAGCCCCTGTGCGCGGCCACTTGCCACCCTGAGCCCTAGCCACAGGTGTAGGGTTAGGGTTTAGGGTTTAGGGTTTAGGGTTTAGGGTTTAGGGTTTAGGGTTTAGGGTTTAGGGTTTAGGGTTTAGGGTTTAGGATTTAGAGGCACACAGGCATCCTGAGGCTTACTCGTAGGGTTTTGGAGGCCTAAAGGTGCTTTTCCACGTCTCAGGACCTACCACAGCCGGTATTTGCTGCAGATGGCCATGGCGATGGGTGATCGCAAGGCCTTGGTTTGGTTCATGCCCGGTTTAGGGTTTAGGGTTTAGGGTTTAGCCCCTTTTTTTGATGAACACAACAATCCCAAACTGTAAACTCTCAATGCCCACATAGCCAAGTCCGGAGGCGCTGGCTTTAGCGCTGGCGCGCGCCTCAGTGCTGGGCACCACCAGGTTAGGGTTTGGATGTAGGGGTACTCGTAGTTTGGCTTATCTTCAACCCTAGCGGACGATGTTTGGAGAGGGTGTCGCCAACTTTTTGGCACCGGGCCCCAAAATCCAAAGCCTCTCAATCCCAAGCTCTATGAAGCGCCTCCTCAGAAACCGCTAGAATGTATTCTGCTATGATCTACTGTGATCTATGTCTCCTTGGAAGATCTTGGCCATAGTCATAATCTGTCAGAACGGAATTTTTCCGAGGTGGAGTCTTGCCGCCTCATGGGTGATCTGCCAGATGCCGACGCTTGGCAGAGCCGAGGTTTTAGGTTTAGGCTTTTAGGGTTTAGGGTCAGAGATGGTTTAGCCTTTTTTTGGGGCGGGAGGGGGGGGAGGGCTTAGCTGAAAAGGCGGAGTCGCTTCAAAACTCCAGAAGGAGCTTCGAAAGCTCAAGAAACTCAAGAGCACAAAGGCGCAATCTTCCCTCCCTGGAGCACAACCCTAAACCCTAAACCCTAAACCCTAAACACTAAAGCCTCTGGAGCCGAAACCGTGAGGTCTCCATCCCTGAGCTTGACGGGGAACCACCAGTCCCGTCACATATTTCACAAAGACTCAGCGTATTCTCTCTCCCTCCCTCCCTCGGTCATGATGTCTCCCTCCACAAATGCGACACCGCACAAGACACGTGGGGGACACGCACACAGACAGGGGATGTCAGATGAGATGTGACGTCACGGTAGGGGGTTGGTGAGTTGAGGGAAGGACATCGCAGGTTCCCGCAGCTACAGCACAGCTCCCAGAGATCCTCATAGGCGCCTTCGGGCAAACTGGCAAGCGAACTGCAAAGCCTAAAACAAGCCTGGCCAGGCCCTTTGGCAGCCAGTGGCGGGGTCCAGGCTGGGCGCGGCGTGGGGAGTTCAGAGAGGGTCCGTCACGGCCGCCTAGGGCACTCTGCTGTGCCGCTTGCTTTGCAGCCCCACGCCCCCGCCCCCAAACGTGCCCATGGCCCTGGTTTCCAGGCCCGAGGCCGATGACGAGGACAAGAAGGACGTCGAGGCGAAGGAGGAGGAGAAGGAGGAGGAGAAGGAGCGACGGAGTGCCAAGATACACCCAGGCCGAAACCTTCCAAGCTTTTTGGCACAACCCTGAGCCTCACAGACCTGAAGCCCAGACTCCTTTAGGTGTACCAGGGGCTGGAGGGATTGAGATTAGAGCCCTTAACCACATACCAAGGGACTCTCCCTGCATCCCTGTGTGAACTCCATACCCGAGCCCGGAACCGCCATACTTTGGTGGGGTGCAGGCCCTTGAGGCAACTTGCCAGGCTTCACACGCCACAACTTGTTCTGCTGCACGAAGATCCAGGCATGCCCAGACCCCAAGCAACCGGACCCACGTGTCAAAAGCTCGGAGCGATTGCTTTAGATACTGCAGATGCTCTTCACTAATCTTAACACTGCTATGCAAGTATATTCCCAGAACCCTCAAGCCTACACCCGAAGCCCAAGATCCTAGAAAAAAACCTCCTCCTACGATGCCAGGAGCTTGCAGCCAAGGAGATGCCTGAGGCGCATGAGGAGGTGGAGTTCCGAGGCACGCCGGAGTGAGCAAGGGGGGGCCGGGAGGGGGGGGGGTTTAGGGTTTAGGGTTTAGGGTGTAGGGTTTAGGGTTTAGGGTTTAGGGTTTAGGGTTTAGGGTTCGAGGCTAGGGGGCAGCTTGGTCGTTTCGAGGGCCGGAGGCCCCTGAGTCGAAAGGGCGGCTTCCAAGAGTTCGGCTGAGGAAGCATTGGCAAAAGGTGGGGTGTCCTATGCGCTACGGGAATTGCTGAAGCCAAGCCCCCCGGCGGCACGCCGCAAGTCCTCTCAACAACAGCCCTGAAGCCTTGCCCCTGCGGATGTCATCCTTCCCAAAGGCAAAGAAACGGCCACGCCGGAGGTTTTGAGAGTTCTGCGTGATGTTATCAGTAACTGGATCCGGCCCGCGTGCCCTGAAGTTCCGAATGCCCAGATCTTCCAAAACCCCTTAATTAAGGTGTATACCCTAATTCCTAAGAAGGATCCTTAGTATAAATTAGGGTAGATTCCTTAATTAAGGAACCCTAAACCCTAAACCCTAAACCCTAAACCGCCTAAACCCTAAACCTTAAACCCTAAACCCCCCAAACCTTAAGGGGTTTTGGAAGATCTGGGTGCCAGAGACCAAGACCCGAGGCACCCTTTCCGGCCCTTGCGCCTTCGATGGGGGGCCAGGCCGGAGCGGACTCTGCCGTCCGGAAGTCTGGGACCGGGGTTTTCTCAAAGTTCTATGACCTCTTATTCCCAAAATTTCCCAAAACCCTACAAAAACTTGAAAGCTTCAGAAACCCTCAAACCCTCAACCGTTTTGGAGTGTTTGTGTGTAGGGGACTTGGGACGCCTGGCGCTCCCGAAGCCAAAGCGCCCAATCATGGAGGCATGCCAGAGGGGGAGCTTCAGCGCCGGCCCAACACACCCGCGCGCAGTGGCTGGGCCCAAAGCTATATCCCCCTTGGGAATTAGTTTTTGTTTTCGTCTATATAAAACCCAAGAGGATATTAAACATATTTTTTTTAGTAAGGTTTCTAAGGGGAGTACAGGAAGAGGTTTTGGTTTGGACTGCGTGCTCTAGGGGTGGGGCTTCGGGTGTGGGGTCTGTGGACTCTTACGCGCGTTTTTTCGACGCAGAGGTTCTTGTTGTAGTTTTGCCTACGGTTGGCTTCATAAGGTTACAGGGCACGGAGCACTGCCGAGCCATTCGCACGTCAGGAATTTCTGAGAACTTGCTTGCATCGAAATCATGTAGTAGTATACAAAGAATCAATATTCATAATAGTAATAGTAATAGGAATAGTAATCGTAATCGTAATAGTAATCGTAATAGTAATAGTAATAGTAATAATAATAGTAATGATAACAGTAACAGTAATAGTAATAGGAATAGTAATAGCACTAGTAAATAGGGTTGATTCAAATCTGACAGCTAGCCTGTTTCAACCATGGCTTCAGCTGGCTGGTTCTTAGTAGGGAATGAGGGAATGAGGGCCCTACAATATATTCCCTTAAAGGGTATATATAGGGCCCTCGTTCCCGCATTCCCTACTTAGAACCATGGCTTCAGTTGCACTCGTTGCGACTTTAAGACCTCTCTCCTCGTTGCGAGTTTGGACCAAACAGCGAGAAATCGGATAGCAGCTTTATCCATAAGACCCTCCTACTGTAGCCTTCTAAAAACGTCGGAACCCTAAACCCTAAACCCTAAACTCTAAGCCCTAAACCCTAAACCCTAAACCCTAAACCCTAAGCCCTAAGCCCTAAGCCCTAAGCCCTAAGCCCTAAGCCCTAAGCCCTAAACCTTTTGGGGCCTGTGACGAATAGGTGTGGACTCAGCAGACCTCGTCTTGGCAGGCTGGGGTTGGCCGCGGTGCGCGATTTAGGATTTAGGATTTAGGATTTAGGGTTTAGGGTTTAGGGTTTAGGGTTTTGGGTTTAGGATTTAGGGTTTTGGGTTTAGGGTTTAGGGTTTAGGGCGAACTCAGGGTTTTGGGTTCAGGGTTTAGGGTTTAGGGTTCCAGGGTTCTTTCAGGATTATCCATCCATCGCTCAGCAGAGCTCATTCGCCAAGCCACAGTTCCGCACATTTCCTAGTAGTTTCTTTAGAACCCTGCAAAAATCAGCATGTTCTTCCTTCTAAGTCTCGGCCGCAACACATCCACCAAGAATAACAGGTCCAGGTGAACACATGAAGCCGCCTTTAGCCCCAAGACCCCATAAATTCTCAAAGGGTTGGCTTCCATCGCTTCACCCAAACACACCTCACCGCACAGACCCTGGGCCACTTTGGTCTTCCCTGCACCGCAGCTTTGCCGAAGGCCAGGTGGTGTCTTTAGGACCTCCATGGCAGACTTGGGGGGTTTTCGCGGTTTTGAATTCGGGCTTAGGGCTTGGAGGTACCCTACCCCCATCACCCCCCGCCAGGTTTCGCTTGAAACAGACGAATCCTGTCCAAACCCGTAATGCGGTCCTGTGTTTGCAAATGCGGGGGGGGGGGGGCCTCGTATATGGGATCGGCCCACGAGGTGTGAGGGTCGGGAAGGATTCATGGTTCATGTGCCATTGCTCGAATGGGCCAAGGCGAATTCTAGAGTACGCTGGCTACTCCAGCCAGGCATGAAGACATACCTGCAGGTGGTGGCCCCTCTCCGACGATCCCGGCCCGTAGCTGTGCACAGCTGCTGCAGCTGGCTCGGGAGATGTGCCTCGGGGCCAACAGGACCAAACAGCGGGTTGAGAATTCCGCTTGGAGTGCCAGGGGCAAGGATTCAACACTCGTGGTTGTAGCAAGATGCTGCCATCTGCTGGGCGTTGATCTTGGCATGGGGGCGGGGGGGGGGGGGGGTAGGACCGGGTAGGACGTGAGGAAGAATGATGAAGCACGATGACTGGTTGAAGCCACGAGCAGAGCTTCTTGAAGCGTTTTTGACGAGTTGCATGTACTACGGGACACCATGTCACCTAGCTTGTAGGACGTTTCTGCTGTCGTCTTCATTCGAAGGTCGTCTGAACTCTGACATTCTCCACGTCTCCCAAACCACTTAACGCCACACCTTGGACATCTAGATTTCAGGATTTTGTTAGTTGGTTCAGAGATGAGGGTTCAAGAGTAACCATCAAATAGCCGAGGTATCGGCAGAAGCTCTTCGACGAGTCGCGCCAGCTGTTGCTGACAGAGGCCCCGCTAGGGAACCCCAAGCTCTGAACCCTCGCCAAAATTTTTTAAAGACGGGTTTCGGGATCTTCACAGCCGTCAAAGATTGACATAGAAACTCCGAACTAAGCTGCGGATGTCAGCCTGGTGTTGCACATGCAGGCTTAGTTGTCATAGTTAGGTGAGCAACAGCAACATCGCGAATTAGTTCAACAGTAGCCATCATGACAAGAGCCTCTGCGCACGTAACTGGGAACTTGCTTGGCATCACAACTAAACCCTAAGGCCCCAAGGCCGTAAGGCCCTAAGGCCCTAATACCCTAAGGCCCTAAGGCCCCAAACCCTCAACCCAAAACCCTCAACCCTCAACCCTTTTGGGCCAAACGCTCTCCGACTAACACTCCCACACTGCTCAGGCAGCCCGGGAGCTTCTTGGTGACGGCTTGGACCATTTCGGCGAGGCCAGGCCAAAAGGTTAGGGTTTGGGGTTTGGGGTTTGGGGCTTGGGGTTTGGGGTTTGGGGTTTTGGGGTTTTGGGGTTTGGGGTTCGGGGTTTAGGGCTTAACTCAGGCCCACATACATGATTATCGCGTCAACCACGGGTAGGTCCCACCCTCAAAATGCTGTATGTGCACGCCTACCCAATTGGGCGTTCACCCGACCTAGTCACCCCCGCACGCCCTAAGCCCACTGCAGTCCAACCATCGATCCTACTGTTTGCTGAAGAACCCCAAAAGAATAAAACGTAATAATCCCTACATTACTCTTAGTAAGGAAGAACATCCTTTATTTTTTGGGGTTCTTAAGCAATTAGTAGGATCCTGAACCACCCTGAACCCTAAACCCTAAACCCTGAACCCTGAACCCTGAACCCTGAACCCTGAACCCTGAACCCTGAACCCTGAACCCCTCGAATGGAGGCTTGGATGCAGCAGCAGCTGTCGGTTATGCGCAGCAAGCAGGCATCCGGACGGAACATCTCCTACTGAGATCAACCCCAAACCCTAAACCCTAAACCCTAAGCCCTAAGCGCCGGACTCCCCTCACAATCAATCGCTGGCGTAAGCCCTAAACCCTAAACCCTATAAACCCTAAGCCCCAGACGAGATCCTGATCCACCGTAGGAGATACAAAACCTGGGAAGCAAGTTGCAGCATGGACTGGGCATCACTGAAACTTAACATGCCATGCCCACATTTGCATCTACAACCAAGTCCACAAGATTCAGAGTTTCAGTAGCCTTGTTTGGTATCTGAGTAGTTAGGCATTTTTTAAATCAGTGTAGCCGAATACGTCGTTGTTTTTTTTCAGGGAGCTCCGGTTTTGGGTACATCTTGGATTGTGGATCAAGGGTCTTCCAGTTGAACGGTTTCATCTGAGCTGCAGCCTGACACCCCCCCCCCCCCCCCCCCCCCCCCCCCCTCTAATCCTAGGGTCCCAACCCCTAAGCCGCAAACCCCAACCCCGAACTCCTGAACCCTAAACTCCTAACCCCCTGGAGAAGACATGCCCTCAGCCTGGATCATCAGTTTTCTGCCAGGTTGGGAGTCTCGACCCGAGGTCGCCACTGGACTCAAGTGGGGTCGGCTCAGGGTGCGATTTTCAAATTTCGGGTTTGGAAGGGCTATGGGTTTTCTTTAGGATACTGGGAGAGGTTTCGGTTCAGTTGAGGGTTTAGGAGCTTAGGGCTTGCGAGATTTAAGGATAGTAAGTTGGGGTGCTAGCCAGGGATCAATCTGCCTTGCTTGATGGAGCAACACCTTGCAAACTGCAGGAAAAGGCGGCGAGAAGGCTGCGTTTTGGGTCGAGGGGTCTGGGCAGTCATGGCTGCTTTGGTGCTTAGAGCTGGTCGAACAAAGTGCTGTGGGAGGGGGGGGGGGGATTCAACGTTCATATGCGGAACCCCGCACAAGTCATCCCAGACCCGAACACCCGAGACGTGGGCCCAGGAAGAGGGAGCTCGAGTCACCGAAGTTCATCCGCGCACTGCAGGCGCTCCCGGTTAGGGTTTAGTAGGGTTTAGGGTTTAGGGTTTAGGGTTTAGGGCTTAGGGTTTAGGGTTCAGGGTTCAGGGTTTAGGGTTTAGGGTCCAGCTCTGTGCCATGACGGGTTCAAGGGGCGTTTTCTGGTGGGATTTGCATCTTCGTAGTCCCTGAACAGCTCAGTCACAGCCCTAGCTACCGCGACTACCAGTACTGCTGGCCAGCAGGGCGCCGTTTCGCCGAGGTACCTACTTGAGGATCCTTTGAACCCGGGAACCACTGAAGCCATTGGTCTTGAGCCGCCCCCCCGGTGTCACAAGACTTGGGTTGACGCACCCTGAATGAATCCTGATTGTTTAGGGTTTAGGGTTTAGGGTTTAGGGTTTAGGGCTTAGGGTTTAGGGTTTAGGGTTTAGGGTTTAGGGTACCGCTTCGGTCTCATCACCCCTGCAACCGTTTTTTGAGAGGCTCTCTTCGACCTCACCACCCGGCAGGCCCCGCGCGGGAGGGTCAGGTGCATAGGAAAAAATGACCTCAGCTTGCATCGTTTGCAATCCAGCTTGCGGTTGAAGCAAATCAATCGGCGGCACGATTGATGTCCGAAAAAGACGGATGAACATTTGAAACATGGACTTAACAAACCCCCTACACTAAGCCCTAAACCCTAAAACCTGAACCCTAAACCCTAGACCCTAGACCCTAGACCCTAGACCCTAAACCCTAAACCCTAAACCCGCTACAACGACGAAGCTGTGAGAATTCCATTGGCCTTCGCAGGTAATTACCCGGGATCGTCAGGGAAAGTTGCCGCCCGGCCCTCAGTTCTCGGGGCCATGGCATGGGCTTCGGAGACTAGGGTTTAGGGTTTAGGGTTTAGGGTTTAGGGTTTAGGGTTTAGGGTTTAGGGTTTAGGGTTTAGGGTGTAGGGTTTAAGATATCCTGCTTGCAAGTTGAGGGTTGGTTTTCCGGTTCGGGGCTCTAGAAATACATGGACGAGGGGATCCGGCAAATCGTTTCATGGTCAATCAGAGGCTTGGGTACTTACTGACAAATATTGTCATGCGTGTCAGTTGTGGGTCTACTTAGAGGCCTAAATTCCTCAATTGCATGAGCAGTTTTGAGGGTTATGCTGCTGCATGCTGCCACAGGCAAGTTTACAAAGATTTTGTTGTCACTACACCTACTACTACGTGAAGTCTCGGAAGCCCTTGGACTCATCTGCACCTGAAAATCCTACAAATGAGAGTTAGTTGAGTAGCGGCCCTGTTTCCTAAGGACGCGGCTCAAGGCGGGAACGGGTTGCAAGGATTTCGGTTTCGCCACAGAAGTATTGAAGACGTCTTCGGTTTCTGAGTTTAAGGGATATGTGGGCTCATGGAGTGAGCTGCAGCTACTTTTTCGGGCAACTACAACTTCAGCATGCGCAGAGGATCCACGTTTAGGGTTTTGGCATGTTCTGAGAGTTTCGACAGGCACACCCAAGGGGAAAGACCCGGACAGGTTGTCAAGGCCAAGCGGTCCGTCAACCTTGATGCCTACCGCGCATGTTGGCAGACATTACGGGGGTTGAGGTCGAGGCTATGGGCTGAGTTGTTTGGGTCGCGAAGTTTGGGTCACGCAGCAAAGTTCTTGCACGCATTCGGGACATGTCTGACTTGCGTCGCGACCCCGGCAATCTATAGTTCGGGCCCCCACCATGGATGCACTAAGGCCTACTACGCCCGTCGAACAGAGACGCTCCTCCGCATTGTGGGCTCCTACAGGCCTTGAGCTAAAGGCCAGGTTCAGAAAGAGTGTGGCTGGCTGATGGCCTGCACTAAAACCCAAGTGAGTGAGGGAGCATGAACATTTCGAAATGTCCTCAGCCGAAATGTACCTTAGCAAGTCCAGGCTCTCATGCGTCTTGGAAATTGATGAGGCTTCATCCAGCTCAACTTCAGGTCAAAAAAGACTCAAACCCAGAAATCTGAACCACTTTTGAGCACTTAATGCAATCCCGAGCCTTTACCCTCGAGTGCGATTCTCAGCATCAAGCAGCCCGAAACCCGTGTAGGCTTCGACCGAGAGTGGAAGCATCCACTGCTTTTCACGCTCGGAAGAAGCCTGCTTTCCTCAGGATCGAGCAGGCCATGTCAACGCCTGCGCCCGGTTCGGAGAGCGCAGCGCGCCTGGACGACTGCCTCACCATAGGCCTCGGGGCTTTGGGGTCAGGCTTGGGGGAAGCTGGGGTCGAGTGCAGGTTGATGAGATCAGCGGCGTTTTGGGCTCTTTCAGCAGCCGATGTGGACCTCAAACCACGTTCCTAGTCCTCCGAATCCTTATTCGTTCATTCGGGAACCCTAAACCCTAAACCCTAAACCCTAAACCCTAAACCCTGAACCCTAAACCCTAAACCCTAAACCCTAAACCCTAAACCCTAAACCCTAAACCCCCAACCCCCTAAACCCTAAACCCTAAACCCTAAACCCTAAACCCTAAACCCTAAACCCTAAACCCTAAACCCTAAACCCTAAACCCTAAACCCTAAACCCTAAACCCTCCGAAGCCTTCTCGTAGAACCCCTCGGGTGGGAGAGGCCCCACGAGCTGCTACCTCAGCCGGGAGCTGCGCCTGATGCAAGGTCCTGGGCCAAAGAGGGGATCTTCCACGGTGGGTTTAGGGTTGGGGGTTTAGGGTCAGGGTTTCCGAAATTAGGGCTGCCTTCTTTGGGGTCCTGAGAATATGGCCGCGTGTCAATATGAATTGCTTGTAACAGGGCCGCGGCCCACACACGCGACATACTCCGTTACAGAGGGTATGTATCAATGGCCGGGGTTTTGCGACAGACCTGTTTGTTGTTGTCTGCAGGTTCCAAGTCTTGCTTATCGGGGGGTAAGTGTTCGTTCAAGAAGCAAATATATGTATCCCTGAATTTGAAACCCCTTAAACTCTTAAAGGCTTGCTTATCGGGGGGTAAGTGTTCGTGAATTTCAAGAAGCTGTGAGGGTTCCAGGTCTTGCTTGTCGCGGCCAACCCCACTCAGTCCTCAACAGGGGGACTCTCTAGGCTTCAGGCAAAACACCCCCGAAGCCTGAAACCCGAAATTCCCGAAAATCAGTGTTCATGCCTCCCGGCGCGCGACATACCCCGTTACAAGTGCGTTACATACCCGCGACAGACCAAACACAGTCTATTGCGACATCTGCGTAAGCAATGCGCCCCAAATAGACGCATTATCGTCCTACCCCAATGCGCCCTGAGACCCGTTTGTAGTGCATGTATATGTATATATATATATATATAATATAATATAATAAACATGATACGAACGTGCGCGCGACAGAGGTCTGTAACAAGCCGGGCGTTACAGAGGTCTGTAACAGGTGGGCGCGGGCGCGGGCCGCGACAACCGGGGGTTTAGGCACACAGCCATATGGGGATCCTACTTGTTGGGGATCTATATTGGGGGCCCTTAATATGGTCCCTTACCTCCATTAAAGGTTCTCAAGTATGGGCCCCCCTTGAATTGTTTGGGGAATGTAAGACTTTCAGGGGCCCCTTTCCAGGGCCCATACTAAGGGACCATGTAACTACCCTAAGAGTAGGCCTTTGGGACATTTTGCATTTTCCTTACTGGGTTTAAGAGGACCATGCTTAGGAAAGCTTTCAGCTAGTTTTAAGGGCCATCCCAGGCAACTTGCCTGAGAAGCCGCGAGATGTTCATCACATCAAAGTGTGGTTCATGCGTGAGAGTTCACGACAAGCTTTGCTTTGAGGACCTATCTGTGGAGCCCGAAGAAAAGCATTCGGGCGTAGAAGCGTCGACGGGCTCCAGATGCACAGATTAAGGATCCCACACGAATGACCCTCAGATGATCCCTGCGGCGCGCATCACAAAGCCTTGGAGCCCACCCTCGAACCAGCGTGAATCAGAAACTGCGAATCAGCAACCAGCGACCTCTGCCATGCGACCCGTACCGGCCGAACACGTGTGGGGAGAGTCGGGAGGATGGGGCGGATGGGGATGGGGCGGACGGGGATGGGGAAGGATGGGGAAGGACGGGGAGGGGGAGCATACTTGTCGCAGACCGGTCTTCTCGCAAAATAAGGGTGTTCAGTTAGAATGAGGAGCAGCAAAACACCGAACTGCGGCTCCCCGGGTCGACTGGCGCCCATCCTCGAAACTTGAACCCAACCGCAGCCCTGGCGAGAAAGGACCTTTCCATTCCGTTTGATTCCCCGAAATGCCTTACCCAACGCCTCGAACCCTGCAATCTTAGGAGCCCTGATCACTCCGAATCTAGTGACTCTGGCTGAGTCTAGTGAATCTAGTGAAGTTCTAGTGAAGTTCTAAGAGTTGCAAGAAGTGACCACAGAGCGAGAACCCAAGCTTTGGGAAGGAATTTGGCTTGACTCGGATGGAAGCCGCTGGCTCGTCGACGGAGACCAGGACGCGCTCTGCTTGTGGCGGAAGGGTTCCAGAGTGCTCCCGCCCCCGACATCTGCGCGAGCTGCTGCGGCTTCAGGGGCTGTGGGGTTCATGGCTCCATCTCTCTTGACTGGTAGCTGATGTTGCCATCTTGTTGGTTCGGAGGCCCGTCTGGTCACGAAGGTCCAAGCCCCCTAAGCCCTGGGCTCTCAAGTTGCTGAGGGCTCCGAGTTGCAGCATGATTTACGGTTGATCTGAAACCCTAAACCCTAAACCCTAAACCCTAAACCCTAAACCCTAAACCCTAAACCCTAAACCCTAAACCCTAAACCCTAAACCCTAAACCCTAAACCCTAAACCCTAAACCCTAGACCCTAGACCCTAAACCCTAAACCCTAAGCCCTAAACCCTAGACCCTAAACCCTAAACCCTAAACCTGTTGAGTCTAAGTGTCTTGAGTTGCCAGCCGGCTTAGAGACCAGTTCAACTGCAGAAGCCCTCACACCCTCGCTCTCCCATCGTGGCTGTTTACCTTCACGACTCAATAGACGAACTCCCTAGAGTCAGAGGAAGATGAACCGGAAATCCACCACTAACAGTAACAACTTACCGCATTAAAGGACTCACAGCCACCCCACAGAAACAAAACGTAAAGCTGGATAGCATCTTGTGATTAGTTCATTTCAACGTGCCCGGCTTTGGGCTTTTTGAACCCAGGGCGTAGAGCCTTGCTGAAAACTTTCGGGAGGTCTATCGAGTTTCCATCCTTGCCGCGCAGCTCTTGGATCCGGCCAAGGCCCGCGACACTGGATCTTCGGTGTTGTTCGTGAATTGGGCTTGGAAGGATTTAGGGTTCTGGTTGGGGTTGGGCTTGGGGCTTTGAAAAGGGAAGCCAAGTGCTTTCTGCAGCGCCGGCAGGGCTTTTGGGCCATCCAGGAGTACGTAGCTCGGGTTTGGAAGGGGTTTGTGTTCGGGGCCTAGGTCATGGACACAGACCAAACCTGAAGCGCTAAACCTCCAATGTGAGAAGCACTAGCCGATTGCCGTGAGCAAGTGGGCCCATGCTATGGAACCATGTGTTCGTTGCCTTCCTTGGACCCTTGAATCCTTGAACAGGGTTCAGTCCGGGGTGAGCCTAAACCTGTTGATGAGGACTGCGTCGACGGTGTGTAGGTCCTAAACCCTAAACCATCCTAAACCCTAAACCCTAAACCCTAAACCCTGTAGGCCCCGAAACCCTAAACCCTAAACCCGAAACCGTGGAAGGCCTGAGGGTTTGGAAAGCCGCCCCAGGCCTCCGCCATCCACGACACCGAGGCTTGCAGGGAGATGCGGGGAGGGTCCGCGGTCAGAGTGAACTTGAGGTCGAAACGATTGTCCACCACATGCCACAACTTGTGGTAGATAGTGATGGTGCTGCCTGTTGAGGCCGGATTTTGTTTTCGGAAGCAGCCATCTTCTTGGTCTGCAAAGGTTCCGGTTGCGGATGTGCAAGAGCTACTTATTTTGGGAGTTCACCCTGTAGCTCGTAGCTGGTAGGCTGGGAACGAACTGCACTCTCCAGACACCTCATCCCAAGCCCAAGCAAGGAGCTTGGGTTTAGGGTTTAGGGTTCAGCGTTTCGGGCTTAGGGTTTAGGGTTTACGGACCTCAAAGTGTTTAAGAAACAGAAGAAACGCTTGTGGTGCAGATCGACTTACTTTTCCGGTCCCTGCCCCTCAGGACGCGCAACAGCTTCGACCAGTCCAGGAGCCTGTCTTGGTCTCGGTGGACGTATCTGGCTGGAGCCCCAGAGGGGCTCTTGGGCAGGGAGGGACTTAGGGTTTAGGGTTTCGGGTTTCGGGTTTAGGGTTAGGCGAAGGGGAAGAGAAGAGAGAGTGGGAGAGAAACGGAGCGCTTAAGAAGATGAAGAAGATCTGAAAAAGGCGTAGATAGAGTTGGTGGGCGCTCATGGGCATCCCAAGGATTATTTGGGAACAGGCGCCGCAGGCATTCAGTGCAAGTCTTCTGCAAGTCAAAACGGACAAAGCAGCACGACGCAACAAAGAAGTAGCTGGAGAAAGAGTGGGAATTCAACGAGACAGCGAAAAAGGAGATGACACCATGAGAGATTGATCGACTTGCATTGCAGCTTCAAAGGCCCAGAGGAGCTACAGCGGCCACGGGTGCCGCAGCAGCTGGGGTGGCAAGGGTTATAAGTGTGTAGGGTTTAGGGTTTAGGGTTTACGGTTTAGGGTATGGTTTCAGGTGCGCGGGGTGGGCTTGTGAGGGTTTGGCAGAGGTCCCAAGCGTCTGAGTGACGCTTTCTGTGGATGTCCCACGTGAGGGATACGTTTAGATTCAAGTTGCTGGGTCGAGGGTTACAGTGTTCGGTATCGTAGCATCAAATTAAATGCAGCCTTAAGAGTAAGATGGACTTCAGGTTCTGGGTTCCTCGGTTCTCCCCCCCCTTTAAACCCTAAACCCTAAACCCTAAACCCTAAACCCAAAACCCTAAACCCTAAACCCTAAACCCTAAACCCTAAACCCTAAACCCTAAACCCTCCGCCCCCGCCCCAGTGCGTTCCAGGTTCGCCCGCGAGATCCGCAAGCGGGCCAAGGATGATGCCCCACGCCAGCATCAGCTTGGGGCCGACAGGCTTAGGGTTTAGGGTTTAGGGTTTAGGGTTTAGGGTTTAGGGTTTAGGGTTTAGGGAATTTAGGGAATTTAGGGTGCTTCATTCGGGGGGTTTAAGGCTTGAGAGTGTTGGGGAGTTGGGGAGTTGGGGGAACTTCAGGGCTGAAGTTCCCATGTCTGCTGTGAGACGCGTGCAGCCGCCTGGCTTAGCTGGGTCTTTGGGCTTAGGTTGGGCTCTCACAGGATGCAAAAACACCCTTCCAAGGAGGACTGCGAGGAGAATCCGCAAGACAAGATGCCGGTCAAGGCGACGTACCACGGGTGGCACGCACCTGAGATGGGCAGCCGCTGGAGGGCGGCTGGGGGCTGGAGGGCTCAGGAGCGCGGTTTCCGGGGCGTCGCGTTCGCAGGGTGATAGAGACTTAAGCATCTTAAACTGAGCAACCCTAAACCCTAAACCCTAAACCCTAAACCCTGTAAAGAGCTCTAAGCTCCAAACCCCACAAAGCTCAAGCCTGGATCCCTGAATCCTCATGGCGGCATCCCCCTTCCGGGATGTTACAACCCGAATTCAGTACGCAGGGATCCGAAACCATGTCGTCTGAGAGGCCTCAGAGACCCTGAACTCGTTCTGAACAGTTTGCATGCGACGCATGTGCAAGAAGTGAATTTGCTGGTTTTGTTAACATTTCTGAAGTTAACATTTCTGAAGCCCCAGAACCTCATTCGAACCTCAATGCATGCCAGCAGCCAAGCACCCAGGCTAGACGAGTCAGGCCGCTCGGCAGAGAAGATGCGGACGCTTTAAATGGGGTGAACAGGTTTCAGTCTTGAGGTGAGGGCCCTAAACTGCTGTGGATGCTCTGCACTTCGAGACTCGCTCGTGTGCTGTGCAGTGTTTCGGGCGTGGCAACACCCCAGCACCCCGAAATGGCCAACAGCACGATCTTGCGAAGAAAAGGATCTTGGGCGATATTCATAGTATAACTACCTAGGGACCCTCAGGGAACACTATTGGCAATTAGGATTTGGAACACGGAGTTGCACTCCAAGCCTCAGCCCAGGCATGCGGGTTACGTGGCGATGCGAGAAGACTCTCTGCTTCGGTGCTCCTAAGCTTGGGATGTTCGCCCTTATGCTAACACTCCTTACTGGGAAGTAATGCGAGTACCCCCCTAGTAGAATCTCAATTAAGGGCTGTTCGTATAAGGCGGAACATCCCAATCTTAAGCCTTGAAGGTTGGGTCCTGCTCTCAAACCGTATTTAGAGAATGGCTTCTTGCGGTGTAGAGCTTGCGGAACTAATAGCCCCCACTCCCAGGTATGGTCACAGGCCATGGGCTCTGCAAGTAGACGCCTGCCCTCACCATCAGCCACCACCAAACTCCACGATTCGTAGGATTGTTTCCAGCGAATTGGTGCCGATTGAGAGTTTGCAGCGACTTGAAGACCAAACTCAGTGGAGCCCATTACAAAAACGCTCATAACAAAAAAAAGGAGTGAAACAGAGACGGCGCTGTACGAATTTGTCACGGGCGAGTCCTCATGTTAGAACGTCATCAAAACCTGCATGCGACATGGCATCTTCACAGTTTGCACGGGCTTTCACAGGTTTCCACAGATTTTCACAGGCTTTCACAGATCTTCACAGGTTTTTACAGGTTGCCACAAATCTTCACAGGGTTTCGCACATCTTGACAGGGTTTCACAGGTTTTTCACAGATCTTCACAGGTGCACAGATCTATTTCGGCAGGTTTTCGCAGATCTTCACAGACTATTTTGTGAAGATCTTTTTCTGACAGATGTATAGAGATGTAATCTTGTAAGCCCCTCATACGAGCACTATAATTGCAAATAGGGGGTCTGCGCCTCCCCCTTTCCTCCTCCCCCACAGGGTATCTTGGGCGGCACAAGGCCTCCGCGTGACCTGAAGCCCTAAACCCGAAACCCTAAACCCTACAAACCCTCAACCCTAAACCCTAAACCCTAAAACCCTACACCCTAAAACCCTAAACACTTCGGTCCAAGGACCGCAGCCTTCTTCTCCTGGGCTCGGGATGCCAACTTTCAGGGCGTCTGGCGCATTGCTGGCAGCCTCACGGCGTGGCTTCAGATTTTTGGAGGGTTAGGGTTTAGGGTTTAGGGTTTAGGGTGTAGGGTTTCGGGTTTAGGGTTTAGGGTTTAGGGTCCAGGGGGAATTTCGGAACGTCCTTGGGAGACCTTCGCTGCTTAGGCTTCAGGGCCCTGAATTCCTAGGCCCTTCACGGCACGTGAGGCAGCTTCAGCTCTCAGGTGGAGTCTCAAATCCAGCATCCTAAGCTCTGGTTTAGGGTTTAGGGTTTAGGGTTTAGGGTTTAGGGTTTGGGGTTTGGGGTTTAGGGTTTAGGGTTTAGGGCCCCGAACAAGTTTCAAATCTGCTGGAGGCTACTCGCTGCTCATGCACGTGGATGCTTTTCGCGAGGGAGCCAAGCACCTGGATGGCCGCAAGAGTCGGTGCCTGGGCTAATGTCGCGGTGTGGTTTGTAAGCCCGTTTAGGGTTTAGGGTTTAGGGTTTAGGGTTTAGGGTTTGGGGTTTAGGGTTTAGGGTTTAGGGTTTGAAGGAAAAAAATGTCCACTGTGTGCATCCTCTGTAACCGCCTGACATACCCTGAAAGCAGGGGCGGGCGAACTCGCCCGGGGCATGACCCCTAGCCCCGCGAAAGACAGAAAGAAAGATGGGAGGAATGATGTCCGGCATGCTTCATAACACGGCTTTGTAGTTCAAATTGTGCCGTATCTTTCAAGAAGAACCCTTTACAGTGTCTCGGACCTGTGCCTTTGAGCTGGAATTGGTTTGGCAGAAGTGCATGAGCTAGTCCTAGTAGAGTTCCGGTAGAGTTCCGGTAGAGTTCCACTTAGTTTAACATAGTTTCGCTGGCCAGTGAACTCATTGCCCGGCCGTGTGACTGTCACTGTGTCCGCTCCTTCAGGCCAAAACTGCACTATCGCCGCCTTAGCATCTGGACGTGTGGATCAGCTGCATGGAGCCATTGAGCGATCACTAAAGATCCCCAGAGTTGTGCAAAGGCTGATCTTTGCTGGCCGGGAGATCTACAGTGGAGAGTTCTTGGCCGAACTTCAACTTGCAAACGGCAGTGACATCACTGTGATAAACAGTTGGCCACAGACACCAGTGGCGATAGTGGAGAAGCTGCATTTGGCAGCTTCCGCATCAGCAACACACACTCTTGCAGCCGCAGTGTCGCAGTGCTTGCAGCATGAGGACTGCTCAGTGAAGGTCGCTGCACTCAATACGCTATCATGGATGGGTCGACTTGCTGCTCCTCACGCAGGTGCAATTGCCAGTCTGTTACGTGACAACGAGCGAGGAGTGTGTGCAGCAGCAGCCGAATTACTTTCCTGGTTGGAGGAAGCAGCTTACGCTGTTGACGTCTTGGCATTTGGATTTCGACCACCAGTCGGGCAGTTTGGGAATGCTGAAATCATGGGCAAGGCCAGACAAGCCTTGACAGTCCTTTTGGAATCTGAATCGTCCAGCATTCGCCTTACTGCGCTTAAGTCTTTGATTGGATTGATGGAGGATACGGACAAGCCAGCAGCACAAGAGCAGTTGCAGCGGCGACGCTTCCTTCTGCCCCATGTTGGTCGGCTGTTTTCGATCCCTCCGAAGATGTGCGGATGATGGCTGCAGAATATTTGATGAGTTGTGTTCCAACATTCGATGCTCTAGGCCAAGATCAATATGGGCGGGAAGCATTGTCCCAGGAGGTTCTTTTCCAGCTGCTTCGCCTTGGTGAGCACGTCAATTTCGACAAAGTGGGGCTGATGAGTGATTCGGGCATTCTGCGTGCTTGCCAACACATTTCCAGAAAGCTGGATGGTTACTGGCCAAAATGGGCTGGATGGCAGGAGATGTTCGATGACCCAGATACTTCGGCCGAATCCGCTGCATCTCAAGTGTCAGTGGCAGTGGTGCATTATTTGCGGCGAAGGTTCTGTGCAAACCAGGTCCATGTGAACCTGGGTCTGCCCGAAAACACACTTCAGTCTCCCTTTAGTTGGCGGGCCGTCATAGTCCATGACTTGCTTCACTTGATGGTTGAAGATGGGCTGGGCAGTCACAAGTGGCAAGTGCGACAGGCCGTGGTGGAGAGTTTGATCTCTCTTGAACCTTGGGGAGCTCCTGCTGTGAGAGCATTGCTGGCTGCCAAACGTTATGAAAAAGATAAGTCAGTCCTGGAAACAATGACAAAGTTTTTTGACAAGTATGGTTCTTAATTCGAACCCGGCAGTATCGAGGACAACATCCAGGTATTCAATTATCATGGTGATTACTGTGATTCTGACCGTGACCCTGACCACGTGGAGGACCTGGAGTCAGAAGAGGAACCACAGCTGCGGGATAAGAGCGGAGGGTACTCAAAGTGCCATCTCAGCCGAAGCGCAAGAAACAACAGAAAACACGGCGTGGATTCCTCACAGGCTCCCTCAACCATTGCCAGCAAAAAAAAGTTGGAGAGGCGAACAAGGCCAGAGGAGACACACAACTTCTCAGACTCCAAGCGCAAGAATCTTCGAGAAAAGGAGCAAGATCGGCAACTGAAAGCTGCCATGCTCGGACACGAACTGCTGAGATTCGCGATGGATGATGTCTAAGGCATATCACCTTTGTGTAAGTCCATTTCTCCTGGCAAACGACAGCCTTCCATTAACCGCATAATATCACATGATGTTGGGCGCCGCGTGCACCATGAACTCTTCGGTGTGTGCACAGCAGCAATGAGGGCGCTTCCTCTGCAGCTGGATCGCAAGCTGCGTTTATAAAAGAAAAAGATAAGTTCGCAGCATAATTGTGGGGCTCCTTTGACATCCCAGCAGCAAACTTGCTGGGGTTTGCAGGAACGCGAACTCGCGGTGCAAGCCAATATCTCTAAGGCCATTTGGATGCTGTAAGGACGCTTGTGCGCACCGCCAGGGCCCTGCAATTTGCAATTTGCTTGTGGAGACGAAGCAGCTGTGCAAATGGGCTAAGCTCAATAACGGTACGGAACTCAAGCCCCTGTGTTCAATTTTAGCTGTCAATCCCTTTGAGCAACAGCCCCAGAAACCTAGAACCCTGGATCTCTCACAGTGCTTAAGCTTCGCTGCTGAGGTTGGGCAAGGTCACTCGCTCGCGTCGAGGCTGGGCTACCACATCGGGACGCTTCGAAGTAGGGGTAGGGTTTAGGGTTTAGGGTTTAGGGTTTAGGGTTTAGGGTTTAGGGTTTAGGGTTTAGGGTTTAGGGTTTAGGGTTTAGGGTTTAGGGTTTAGGTTTTAGTGTTTAGGGTTTAGGGTTTAGGGTTTAGGGTTTAGGGTTTAGGGTTTAGGGTTTAGGGTTTAGGGTTTAGGGTTTAGGGTTTAGGGTTTAGGGTTTAGGGTTTAGGGTTTAGGGTTTAGGGTTTAGGGGTTGTTCTGTGCCGTATTTCTGCAACCAGGATCGCCGAAGCTGAAACCCTCCTCGTGCCCAAATCTTCGTGACATTTTGTGAGATGCCACAGTCTCGTAGAAACTGGCTTAAGGATGTTCTCTCGTAAGTCAGCCCTCCGCACACCAAACGGCTCCCTCAAAGGCACCATTAGACAACGTTTCGTGTTTTTGGGGCGTAGGGTCCTGGGAGAAGACTTAGGTCGTGTTCTTTTGCTGATATTGGACTCTTGGTTTCCTATTTTTACTGTAGTACTCGCATTCCTGATATGAAACAGCTGGATTGCCGTTTCAGCGGCTTCTCCAGAAATACAGGAAAAACGCACGAACTCCGATTAGGATGTCCAGGGGACACCCTGAACCCTGAACCCGAAACCCTGAACCCTGAACCCTAAACCCTGAACCCTACACCCTAAACCCTAAACCCTAAACCCTAAACCCTAAACCCTAAACCCTAAACCCTAAACCCTAAACCCTAAACCCTAAACCGTGACCTTCCCCCAGATTCAGCTCCGAAGAATCTCTTCCGAACTGGTGAGGTGAAGCTTGGTTTGAGCGGGAGATCCAAAAGCTCTGTGAGGACTGGAAGGGGGTTTAGGGTTTAGGGTTTAGGGTTTAGGGTTTGGGGCTCACCTGGTGACGGGCTGAGATGGGCTGAGTGTCAATTAGGGCATAAACCCTAAGCCCAAACCTTCGAAATTCCCAGAAACTCCCAGAAATTCTCATGAGACCTCAGGAGGGCAGGGACTGCGGAGAGGCCCAGACGCCGACCTTCATCATGCCTCTTGGGCGTAAAAAAAGCGCAGAAAGCCAGCCCACCAAACGGTTTTGGGGTTTAGGGTTTTGGGTTTCGGGTTTAGGGAACAGCCCCCCCCCCCAAAAAATTGAGAAGCTCATATTCTTCATAAGGGCAGTATAGAGATTCTGACTTTATGTTTTTGGGGTTCTTAAGCAAATAGTAGAGCCCTGCCTCAGACAAGATCCGCAGAAGGCAAAAAGGTATGCAGAACAAGGCATACCGGGTTGCTTGGCTTTGCTTGTTTCGGGGGCGTGCTTGGGAAACTAGGGAAACCCAGGAAACCTGCCAGAGAATTCAGGAATCTGGCGGCTAGAATTCAGCCGCTGTCTTGGTGAGTTGCTGGCTGTTGGCAGCATTGTGTCGCCTTTCCAGACCTTGGCCAGGAATTCAGGAAGCAGGTGCAGACACTTCTGGGCTCTCGGTCCACGGCGCGATTCGGTCTCAGGGCTCGGGTTTTAGGGGTCATGGTATGGGTGCAAAGTGGCATCTGAATGTCGCACCGCGTTTCCCCCCGCGTTGTTGTGCCCCGAATTTCCTCTCACCTCCCCTACACCCACACTGTGCCCTAAACCCTAAACCCTAAACCCTAAACCCTAAACCCTAAACCCTAAACCCTAAACCCTAAACCCTAAACCGTGAGGCACATTGTTGGGGAGCTGTTCCCAATCTGGACTGACGTGCTGGAGGGCCCAGCTTTTGTGGGGTTCAGGGGAATTTCACGGTGTGAGGCCTATGGGCCCATGCGCTTCAGGAACCCTAGGTTTAAGGTTTAGGGTTTAGGGTTTAGGGCCTAGGGTCTAGGGTTTAGGGTCAAAAGATAGTCAACTAAAGTTGATGTTTGGTTGCGAAGTAAGGCAGACCGTGAGCTCTGGTGTTGAGGTTGGGGTTTAGGGTTTAGGGTTTAGGGTGTAGGGGTTAGGGGTTAGGGTTTAGGGGTTAGGGGTTAGGGGTTAGCGCCAGAGACTCTCGCGCAAGCCTTCGGCCGACCGTGGCACCAGATGTGCATTGTTTGCCTTTTGGCTTGTCCGATGTTTGCCTGTTCTTTTGTTGGCTCCAGTCCTTTCACTTTGGGTTTAATTGGCTCATCCTTGGTCCTGGTTTTGGTTGCCCCTCTGGCATCCTTTCGGTTCTTAATGTGTTCCTGTCTCGAGAAGTGTGAGCGTGTTCGGTCGAACACATGTCGGGAATTCCATGATTGCCAACCCCTTCGTTCTCCCAATTCCTAGCACGAGGGACAGGTCAACCACACTGATGGGCAGGACTTTCTGAGCCCCTACGCCCAACCCCCTCAGGGGCCCTCAACATCACGTGAAGCGGAGTTAAACTGTTGCATCACTCAGTCCCTAAGCCTGAATCCCACATTCCGTGCCTCCACTCAGCTCCAAGCATCAAGCCTTTTGCGAGCTAACGGCCGAAATTGGACGCCGGAGCCATGACAGGTCCCCGAACCTCATGACCTTTCGATCCACGACCTTCAAAGGCGGGAGGGCAAGGGTGTTTAGGGTTTTGGGTTTACGGTTTAGGGTGGGCCCCGCTTGCAACCTTTCGTTTTGCGATGTCCTGCCCGCAAATTCCCAAAGCCTTCGTGCATTGAGAGGTTCGCCGGGGCGTACTTGTGGACTCACCCTTTAAAAGGCCACGTTGAGAGCTGTGCTTGGCATGGCCTGCAAACAAGCAAAACAATCACTTTTGAGGGCCGGGTCCAGGACCTCGGGCCAGGAAGTGAGAAGCCTAGCAGCAGAAACGCCGGACCTGAAACTGAAGAGTCCTGCATGCCGTGAGGCTTAAGACTGCTAAGATGCCTTACCGTAAGACGGTCATGCTGTCGGAAATCCAGCCACATCCGATCCTAGACCCTCTTTAGACCTACCCTAAACCCTAAACCCTAAACCCTAAACCCTAAACCCTAAACCCTAAACCCTAAACCCTAAACCCTAAACCCTAAACCCTAAACCCTAAACCCTAAACCCTAAACCCTAAACCCTAAACCTAAACCCTAAACCCTAAACCCTAAACCCTAAACCCTAAACCCTAAACCCTAAACCCTAAACCCTAAACCCTAAACCCTAAACCCTAAACCTTAAACCCTAAACCCTAAACCCTAAAGCTGCTGAACGCCCCAGCACCCAGCTCAGCCGTGGAGGCTGCGTCGACTGTGAGGGCTCGGAGATCTCTGTGGAGCCATTGGCTAACTTAGGGTTTAGGGTTTAGGGTTTAGGGTTTAGGGTTTAGGGTTTAGGGTACTGAGGTGACTTAAGGGGACCATTGGGCTTCTGCAGGCTGAGGCAGGGGGAGCTGAGGAGGGGCTGACCAGGTCCCCGCAAACAATCCTGCAGAGTATCCAACCCCCAGAGTATTGCTGGAGGGCCAACCTGGAGGATACATTAAGAATGCTGCAGAGTATCCTCCACCTACATACGTTCTACAAAATCGAATCAACTGATTTTTGCAAGTCAGTTTTTTGACTACTTTGTCAATGCAGTCGCGAAATTAGGGTAAAGCGGACATTGACACTGTCGATGGCAAATGCCTGCACGGCCGTGCTGTAGGCCTAGCAGCCGACCATGCGGGTTCATGAACAGCTGGTTGTGGGCACCTGGGGACGGGAGATGCGGCAAGCACCAAGGTTGCGAACGGAAGCTACACAGCAAAAAGGCTCTGAACCCTCAGAGCATCTAAGCGGTATTTGGTCAGTTCTCAAAATGGTGGTCCCTTTTTGGGTACCCTAAATCTTAGGGGCCGTCTTTTTCTTCTACCAGATTCTTTTACAGAATAATTCAACATACCCCAAACCCATACTTCAAATATAAGAGGAGAACAGCAAGGAAGGATTTTAATCATACGACCCTAAACCCTAAACCCTAAACCCTAAACCCTAAACCCTAAACCCTAAACCCTAAACCCTAAACCCTAAACCCTAGCCCCACATGCACAGCTCAGGAGCCGATGTCTGAGCTCGAGCGGCCTCGGATGGCCAGCTTCCGACCCCGGAGGCTTGCATTTATTGTTAATATGACTAATGTGGGGGTTTAGGGTTTAGGGTTTAGGGTTTAGGGTTTAGGGTTTAGGGTTTAGGGTTTAGGGATGATTAGTAATAAGACGAAGATTTTGATTATCATTATGGTTTATGGCTTTATTAATCGTATGATTAATGTTTAGCACTGCTATCATGGTGATTATTATGAGGATGATTTTTACGATTAGTATCTTCTATCTTATATCATTATTATGGGCTTATAGCGATTTGACTCATCTGACTCTACATCTGATTGAACTTAGGGCTTTGGGCATTAATTAAGGTTCAGAATTAAGGTTCAGGGCTGAAAGGAACTGATGGTTGATGAATGCTTTGTGGGCTCTGGAGGTTTAGGGTTTAGGGTTTAGGGTTTAGGGTTTAGGGTTTAGGGTTTAGAGTTTAGGGTTTAGGGTTTAGGGTTTAGGGTATTGGTGAAGCCGGGCTTGAGCATGTTGGCTTACGCCGGCTTTGGGTTGCAGGTGCCAAGATGCCACGGCTTAGAGGGCTTTCGAGTTTCAGGGCCTATTGCCTTCAGACATCACAAAATCTGAGTCTTTAACGTCCGAGTTTAGGATGCTGTATGTCAGACTTCACATGGCAAACCCTGGACTGTCCCTATGTGATGTAGATATGTGTCCTGACCCGACTGTCACAAGCTATACTAGGGGATCTGAAGAGTGCGCAGGACCCTGCTGGGCCGTCGCACCACGCACGTGGTGCAGCCCTTTCTGTCCAAGACCTGGGGCTACCGTGAGTCAGCAACGGTGGACCTTGGCCTCAAAGCTTGGAGTTCCGATGCCACATGTCGACATAGGTGGAAGGGGCGGGGGCAGGAGACAAACACCCTCCAAACTGTGGAGCGTAGCAGCGCATTCCTACAGCTGCAAGTCAGTCAAGTCGGATTGAAGAAGAAGCTCCCAATGCTAACTCGCATACACTGAAGCCCTAAACATCCCAGACCAATCGTCAAAACCCGCCCAGGATCTGAGCGCCAAGGAGCTCAACCTCAAAGCCAACGAGCCTCTCGACTGCTTCTTCTCGGGCTTCTAGGGGTGAAATCGTAACAGGGGTGGCTGTGAAGGTGAGCAGCACCTCCTCCCCGCTCCCAAAAACTGCCGATTGGCTTAAAGAATAAACAAGAATAATCCCTATGTATATATATATATATCTTACCATTATAAGGAAGAATATGTATTATTTTTGGGGTTCTTAAGCAGTTAGTAGTTAGCTGAAACCTGCAGGCTTTGGCTGTTCCACGGCACGCGCGAGTCAGCTGCAGAGTCCATTACTGAGAACGAGTTCCAGGCTTTGCCCGATGCACGCAAGCTTGCCTGCTTTAGGGTTTAGGGTTTAGGGCTTAATGAAGGGTTTAGGGTTTAGGGTTTAGGGTTTAGGGTTTGCGGATTGAAGGGTTTTGGGCTAACAAGGCTCCTGAAACCTGAACTCCACGAAACGTCGTGCGAGTTTGAGCGATGGCGCAGACCAGAACCTCAAAGACCCTAGATCCCCTGTACATCCTTGGGTCCCTTGCAGTTGAAGATGGCTGGCACCAATCGTGGAACGATGTTTGGCCCCGGGATCTACATGGCCGACGCGGTGCGCAGGGCCTTAAGCTGTTGCCGAGTCAGAGCTCCGGTTTGGGGTCTTAACGGTGTTTGGCCTTCGTTTTCTCAGAGGGGAGAGTTCACGGGCTTCTCCTGCAGGATTGGTAGGGGGCTTGGCGAGTGTGAGGGTCCAGGGAACAAAGCGAACACGTGGAAAACACACGAGGCAAAACGAAGGGCCCAAAGGACAAATGGCCGAGAAAAGAAGTGGGGTGGTCAGTGGTTGGGGGCACTAGCGGCTTTGACACGCGAACGTCCATGCTTCTGCCGGGCTTGGTTGTGGGTGAAGAGGATTTGTGTTTTGGACCGCCCGTGCTCCGGCAGGTTACGAAGAGCGACGCATCCCTGCCGATTTAGATGGGCCGGGCATCAGGTCTACGTTCTTGCATGACCCCAATATGCCCAAATCCTAAGGCCTAAACCCTAAACCCTACCGTAGACCCCGCATGTTCCAGGGCTTGGGCATTGGTGTTCTTGTTTGGTGTGCTGCAGGATGCAGGGAGTTGGCACAGTCGTGTACACTACAGGATCTACTGCAAGCCACACGCCTTGTGGAGAGGGGACATTGAGCGGAAGCTAAAGGCTTGCCAAACTGCACCATGCCCAAAGAAGCTGCAAGCCCCTGCCCTCGCTATCCCTCGCTACTCTCCTAAACCACGCACCCTACTGTAAGCTGGCCCTAGCCGCTACTCCGCCACTACATGCGAAGCCACCAGGTTTCATGGACGGGGACGATAGTGGGGTTTAGGGTGGGTGTAGCTTCAGGTTGGAGTGAGAGCCTGCAGAGTAATCAGCAGGGATTCCCAGTGCTGACGCAATTCTTGCCAATATCGCCGCGTTGTCGGTTCTATTCCACACACATGGTTCCTGACATCTTGAAGCCCTCTAAACGCTAAACGCTACACCCTAAGCCCTAAGCCCGAAGCCCTAAGCCCCAAGCCCCAAGCCCCAAGCCCCAAGCCCCAAGCCCCAAGCCCCAAGCCCCAAGCCCCAAGCCCCAAGCCCCAAGCCCCAAGCCCCAAGCCCCAAGCAGAACAGGAATACACCGAGCCGGATCCGACAGGCTTGCGCACCATGCCTCTCGGGCCGCGCTGTTTGCTCTGCTCTACAGCTCAGGGTTTGAGGGAGGGAAGCCAGGAGAAGCCTGAAACCCTAAACCCTAAACCCTAAACCCTAAACCCTAAACCCTAAACCCTAAACCCTTGTTTCCGAGCCCCCCAACCATGGCTACGAGGATTTCCCGAGTTTCATGGCATTGAGTAGGGGGGGTGTGCTTCCGGTGCCCTAAGAAGCGTGAAGCCATTCTGGGGCCTGATTCTCAAGCTGCGAGCTCCCAGTTCCTTCAGCCCAAGGTCACAACTGGCCCTAAACCCTAAACCCTAAACCCTAAACCCTAAACCCTAAACCCTAAACCCTAAACCCTAAACCCTAAACCCGAAACCCTAAACCCTAAACCCTAAATCCTAAGCCCGAAGCCCCTCCCAGGATCCTGTGCCGCTGCACCATGGGCCGGGCCATCAAACAGTTCGAGGGGGGCCGCGAGTGCATGAAGGCCTCGCTCACTTCGTGCGCTTGGGGCTATTCAGGGCATAAGTCACCCTAAGCTCCCTAAACCCTAAACCCTACACCCTACACCCTAAACCCTAAACCCTAAACCCTAAACCCTAAACCCTAAACCCTAAACCCTAAACCCTAAACCCTAAACCTGAGAATTCCGGAGCAGGCCTGCCACGCGGGCGGCTTCCACTCCGTAAAGGGCCTTCGTGCTTACAATGCGCCTTGGCGCCACACTGCGGAAGAGCTCCAAGCCCCTGAAGATCCCAAATTCCCAAACCCCTGAACTCTTTAGGGTTTAGGGTTTAGGGTTTAGGGTTTAGCCCAAAACCCGCACCTAAGTCTCAAAGGCAACTTGCCTCAAGGTTTAGGCGAACCATCGGCTGGAGTGCGCATCCTAAGATCCTGAACCGTTCGAGCGATGTGGCACTTCCAGTTCAATTGACCGTGGAACCTTCAACCGCAGTTCTGTCCACTCGCGACTTAGCGACACTGCGCTTTGCTGACAAGGAATACATTGTCTACGCGACCCAGCTGCACTAAGAAGAGCACCTGTCAGACGTCGACTCGCCTCACTGAGAGCACATGTCAGACATCGACTCGCTTGTTGATGCTCTTTGGGGTGCTGTTGGGATGTTCCCCCCTATCCTAACAGTCCTTAAGGATTAATAGTAGGGGGGTACTAGAATCCCTATGAAGGACTGTTAGAAAAAGGAGCTTGGGGGTTGTTTGGGGTTCTTTGGGGGCTACTTAGGTAGATAGGGACTATATACGGTTTTTATAGGGGGGTATAAGGGGGGCAAGTTATTCCCCAGCTCTGCTTCAACAAGGACGAGAACCAGGTGTACGCAGAGTACATCATCTGGTACCGCCGCGTGTACAATATCGAGTGATCTCGGGAGACGCGTCGAGGGTTACCGAGGGTTAAGAATTGCGCAGGCAATCCTGGAGCTCACAAGTAGCGTTTGGTTGTAGGGTTTAGGGTTTAGGGTTTAGGGTTAAGTTTATGTTTTGCACTCCGCTCTCATCTCCCTTGAGGGCGAGACCCGCCCAAAGGCATGGATAGCTATGAAAGGCCCTAACTACCCGAACATGAAAGCTTAACCGGGTTTCCGATAGTGGAATGCTCCTTGTACAGAATGAGCCACGATCAGCTGCACTGTAAGACGTCGACTCAAGAGTTCAAAAATGTATCAGTCTGGGTCGAATTTCTTCTTCGGTTGGCACGCAACCCCTGGCTGCCAGGATTGCCGTTGGCATCATACCATGCTGAAAGCATGGTAATGGCGCAGATGTGCTAGGTTTGCAAGGGTGCCTAATGTCAGAGAGTCATTTACTTCACTATCTATGACAGACTGCCCGCTCTCAAGAATACCAGGCATACCTGCAGCACACCCATGCAGTGTTCATGCCCCCCCGGAGCGCTGTTCAGCTCCGGCAAGCACCTGCAAAGCAGGAGTCGCCAACCAGTGTTGCTTTGCGGGCGCCCGCAATTACGTGGTAAAAAAGCAAGCTCTTTCATGTTCCGTGCGTTCCATGGTCACAGTGCGACTGTATATACGGGATGCATTTTCCGCACACGGTGGTTTCCAGCCACCTTCATATAGAGATGTTCGAGAGCCAAGCCAGCCCCTCTGCAAAGGAACCTGGGAAAGAAACAGAAAGAGAAGCGAAAGCAGAATACCTAAACCGTAAACCCTAAACCCTAAACCCTAACCCTAGACCCTAAACCCTAAACCCTAAATACCTGGACAACTTGGGCACGCCTGGAAGAACCTTGTAGAAGCCCAGAAGCCCCCTCTGAGCCCAAGCTCCCAATCCCCTCCCGCTGACTATTAGCACCCCGAATCCCATGTGCACCTGCCAAAGCCCTTCGGGTGGCTGGAACTTCAAGGAACTTCAGAACCTAAACCTTAAGTCCTAAACCCTAAACCCTAAACCGTAAACCGTAAACCCTAAACCCTAAACCCTAAACCCTAAACCCTAAACCCTGGCAGGGGGGGCGGCCGAACCAGCGCTGTCTGGGCTGGTGCCGGCACTTCGATTGTCTGAGCTGTTTGGGGGATTTTGAAATTAGGGGTACCTTATGGGGGTCCTTTTTCAGGGGATCTTACTATTTGGGGGACTCTATCAGGGGTGCCCTATTTTCGTAACCCCCATTTAAAGTCTTGAGGTCTAGGGTAAGTTTAAGGCTTCGCTGTGCAAGGATTTGCAAGGGCCACGCGGTCGAGGCGCTTAGGGGCTAATTGGGGCTTCAACAAAACTTTGTCATAGTTGGGTAACATGTCACATTGTTAAGGGTACTTAAACCTAATAAGGAATAAAAAACATTTCTAATATTATCCCTATAATGAACTAGAAAAGATGCTAGAGATGGCCGAGTCAGGCACCATTGCAGAAAGAAACCTTGACTCGAACAGAGAGCTGTGCAAGTGCCCAGCTCCAATCCAAACAAAGCGCCGCAGAGCAGTGAGAAGTGTCTATAGAGCACAAGGCCCTGCAGTAAGTCCTGCTTTGGACCCTTCGCCATGGTCGTGGGACCTGAAAATCTGAGCCAAGTGTTGGGTTCTGTGGTCAGGAGTGTCCACATTTAAGGGCTTGGACTTTACATTTAAACACTGAAGACCATCGAGGTTGATAGTGTCTAATTCGATGCACGCCTACGCTCATGAGCGCGAAGCTTTGCAAGGTGGAAGGTTTCGTGCTTTGGGGGCATTGGGGGTTTGGCCGGCGTACTGGCTCCGAGCCACGATGCAAATCCGCAGCACCTCTCTCTGCTTCAACAAATTTGCGCAACGCTTTAGTGGGCATGAAACACGGATGGTATCATGCAGCTGGTACCCTCGGAAACAATGACATACCCAGGGCCTTGTTTCAAGATCACGTTTTTTTTGGGCAGGTAGTAGGGGTGCCCTTCATTCAGCTTGGCACATATGGATAGTGACTAATCGCAAATCACTAATCCAAGCTCGCTGACTGCAGGCCATAGAGGAGACAATCCGAGCACATGGGGAGCACATGGGTGCCGCATTGCCGGCAGGACTGTCCAGTTGGATGCAGTCCTCCTGTCGGCGCCGCCAGCCTGCCGGCGCGAGCAGCAGGAATGCCGCTCCGGCGCCCAGACCGCCTGGGGTGCCTTCGGCAGAGGAGCTGAGGGATACCTGGCTACTGGCAGTGCAGGAGGAGGACGCGGCGGCGGCCGGCTACTGCGCGCGGATCTGCGAGTCCTTGCGGGGCGCTGAGGCCTTTGCAGCAACCGATGGGCTGGATGCTTTCATTTCGGTGGCCATGGGCCAGTCCACGAAGGGCAGCGGCGGTGGCCTGATGGTGGCGCTTGCTCAGGCCCTGATGATGGATATGACCGCTTTCAAGGAGGCGGTCTTCGAAACCTTGTGTGCAGCAGCACACTGGCCATCGTTGAAGGGCCGCATCGCCGGCTCGGGTGTGCTGGGCGTTATCACGGCCACGCTGCTCTCGCCCCGGCACCCGGCCTCCGTCAAGGCCCTGATGGTCCGGCTTTGTGGGCTTCTGGCTGCGGACTCCTTGGAGGCCATCAGCCTGGGCGACCCTCGCCGAGCCGAGGAGTTTGCCAAGCTCAGGGGCCAGCTGATATCGTCCGGCGGGGTCAAGGCCATCGTGAGCTTGGCAGCTACCGAGGGCCTGGCCGCTCCAGCCGCAGCCACGACCGTTGCGCAGCTGGCCTGCGCGGGAGACACGGCCATCCGCAGCGAGCTGCTCCAAGCGGATGCCGTCCCAGCACTCCTCCGTTGCGTGGCACGAATGTCAGAGGCCCAAAGTGAGGAGACCGCAGACGACAGCGATGTGGAGATGGAGGAGGATACAGCACCGGAGGCTGCTGCTGCTGCCATCGCCCGGCTCCTGGCGTTCGAAGGCGATGGCTGCCAGGAGATGTGGCTTTGGGGCGCACGCCTGCGCCCTCAAAACATAACTGCTGGCCCTATCACTCGTTAGGTTCAGGGCTTGGGGGGTTGTGGACTCCCGATGAAGCGTGCAGTGTTTGAGACGCAGGTCGTGCTCGTAAGAAGACAGACACATGTCACATGCGGCACATGCCTTGTAAAAAGCAAAGGTAAAGAACTTCTTCCCCAGCCTCGGTGTGAGGTTGTTAGATTGGAAGATGTTAAGTCAGCCATGCTCCTCGCCTCCTCGCCCGATTTTCTGCACCGGTAGATTTGTGTGTGTGTGGGGAACAATGAATAGAAAAGGCGACAGGTATCAGGTTATAGATAAGTATTAACATAGATGCACTCATAAGATGCATGTACATTTTGTTGATAATGCAACTGTAGTATGTAGCATGTACTTTGTGTAGAATATAGGATATGTTGCGTTGCATCTCATTTCAACCGGCGCTTCTTTTACATAAGCATCATAAGGCATTGCAACTACAGTACATTCTAGTCCATGCTGTGTTTTCTGCAAGGTCAACACTTATAAGGGTCATGTTGATTTGTGCTATGCACGCACACAAAAACTTCCAAACATATGCATGTTATCCCAGAATACTGAGGCAAATAGAGATTTTCCGAACCACGCCCAGAAGAAACTTTCTTGAGTATCAAGCAAGGAAAGACATTGCAAGAAATAGGGATTGTCAGGACTTATCCTGTGGCTTTCATCACGGCTCCTCTTTGCGAGGATTGGATTTACTTTCCCGGGGTGTTCCCTGTTCATCCGATGGTTTTTCCCCCAAGTAGAGCGCATCAGATGTTCGCACTGGTTTGGGGAGTGCCAACAACCAGCAAACCATGTACAGCTGGAAGGGAGTATGAGGGATGTCGCAAGTGCAACCTTGCAAGTATGGGGATTGAGCCTCCTGATCAACCAATTTCACAGCATCATGTTGCAGTTTTCGGTGGGTAGCAGACAACATGTTTCACATGGTGTCACGCTGCCCCTTTTCCATCTCGCGTGTAAAGAATCGCGTTGCGCAGCGATGTTCCCCACCCGCGCGCACACATGAACGGAACACAAGTCAAAACACCCTGTGGATTTGCTCCAGGAGCTGCTAGCGCCAGTGCTGCAGCCCAGCGCCTTGAAAGACTTCTGTGACCTGCTGCACGTCTCCGGGAAGCGCCGAGCGGTGGAGCAGGTTTTGAGGTGCCTGGAGCTGGCGGGGTCCCGCCACGATGCCTGGCCCCCACTGGAGCCCGAGCTCTGCGAGGATCTGCGCAAGATGCTGGTTTTTCGGAGCGATGTGGCCGCAAACTACCTGCAAGCGCTGCACGGCCACTATGGGGCCAAAGCGACGCTGCGGTGTTTTGGGGACCTGAAGTCTTTGCAGCGAGCCCTGGAGGCCTATTCGCTTCCAAGTGCCTCCGCTTTGCTGGAAAGCTTGGCTGCCACCCAGGCGTGCGGCCAGTGCGGCGTGATTCCTCAGAATCTCATGGCCTGTGGCCGATGCGGGCAAATCGCATATTGCTCGCGTGAGTGTCAGAGGCAGCATTGGAAGCTTCACAAGCAGGCGTGTAGCCAGAAGAAGGAAGAACCAGCCTAGAAGGTTCCCTGATCGACGCGTAGGGCGCAGGCCAGAAGTTGTGCAGCTTCAATGTTGCAAAGCAAAACGCGTTACGTTCCTGCCGCTATGCGAGACATAGAGAGCCCTCCAACCGAGCATTCCAGCCAGGTGCAGCCACCCCAACAGCGAGCGGTGGTCTGGACAGGTGCTCTTGCAGAACGTCACGCAGGCTGTGGTTAGCGGAGCTTTTGTCAAAGCAGTATTGAACACTGGGGCTTCGATAGCTTTGGAATCAGTGCACCAGATCTTCCTGTGTCCGTTGCTTGCATGTCACGGTAGCAGTGGGCATCAAAATCGGGAGGCTGATAAGCAGAAAGGGATTACCAGCAAAAAGGCCCAGATACCAAGGTGAGCGATAAACAGCCATCAATCTGTCATGCCGACTTTAGCTTTTCTGGCTTGGGTCTGCTCCCCCCGGCCCCCCGGCCCCCCCCCCCCTCCCCCCTCCTAAACCCTAAACCCTAAAGCCTAAATCTTACACCCGACGCCCTAAATCTAAGAGGGGCATGGCTGATAATGTTTAACGGTTTTATGGAGCCATGAGCTTACCATGATTAGTAGGGAATGGGGGAATGAGAGGTGCCCTATATTCCCCTTTTATCTACCCTTTAAGGATTATGCAGGGTACCTCATTCCCTCATTCACTACTAACCAACAGTAAGATGAGCCTCCTACAGTAAACCCTAAACCCTAAACCCTAAGCCCTAAACCCTAAACCCTAAACCCTCAGAGGGATAAGGCTGAGAATGTTTAACGCGTTTATGGAGCCATGAGCTTACAGCTGGTTAATAGGGAACCCTAAACCCTAAACCCTAAACCCTAAACCCCTAAGAGGGATGCCATGAGCCATGAGCTGCTGGGTTGGCAGCTTCTCCTTTGACCTCTGCTGCTCGGGCGCCTGGGGCATCGGGCTGACGCGCCGCGACCGAAGTCCAAGAGCTTGTGACCGTATGTTTTGGGGTTGGGCCGTGGGTTTAGGGTTTTAGGGATTTAGGGTTTTAGGGTTTTAGGGTTTTAGGGTTTTAGGGTTTTAGGGTTTTAGGGTTTTAGGGTTTTAGGGTTTTAGGGTACTAGGGTACTAGGGTACTAGGGTACTAGGGTACTAGGGTACTAGGGTACTAGGGTACTAGGGTACTAGGGTTTTAGGGTTTTAGGGTCTTAGGGTCTTAGGGTTTTAGGGTTTTAGGGTTTTAGGGTTTTAGGGTTTTAGGGTTTTAGGGTTTTGGGTTTCAGGGTTTTAGGGTTTTAGGGTTTTAGGGTTTTAGGGTTTTTAGGGTTTTAGGGTTTTAGGGTTTTAGGGTTTTAGGGTTTTAGGGTTTTAGGGTACTAGGGTACTAGGGTACTAGGGTACTAGAGTACTAGGGTACTAGGGTTTAAGGGTTTTAGGGTTTTAGGGTTTTTGGGGTACTAGGGTTTTAGGGTACTAGGGTTTTAGGGTTTTAGGGTTTTAGGGTTTAGGGTTGCTGAATTATTTGAATTCAAGAGCTGTTGGGCGAGGTGCGGGTTCGGGCTCAACCGGTGCGTTGTGGTGGGGTTCTGGGTGTGAGCAGACACGGGAGTCTGAGTTTCCCCAACCAAAACTTGGACGATCCTTTGGCGGACCAATACTGAGAGTAGGTTGTCAATTCGTTGCCAATCTGCCCGGTGTCCTCGATGTCCGAAGCTTTAGATCATCCACGCCCAAGCCACCTTCACAAGAAGCATGGAGCTTGGGAGCTTGTGCCATAGGGTTTCCGCTCCCACAAGGAACACGAAGAGAAAGATACCTCTCAATCCATCTCCAGGAGAACCAATCCAGCCCTTCTACTTTTAGCTAGCGAAGGCCGTTCTTAGCAAACAGACCTGAACTTGGGGGCTTCCCATCGTGGCTCAGCTGTGAATTGGAGGTCCTGCTGGGATGACGCCTTCAACTGGGACACATGCTGCGCCTCAACTGGGATTTCGGGGACGGTGGTTACAAGCAGGAGATTTTGGCCGGTCTTGGTGTGTCTTTCACTTGAAGAGTCTTCGGCCGCAGCTGCACCGCACTGGGCATCAAATTTGGACGTAGGTGCAACCCAAAAGACCAGTGCCTCGCACGGTGGTCGAAAGAATCGTCAGTTTCTAGACGTAAGACGCAAAACCCAAGCCAGCTCAAGTGCAACAGAAACGGTGTCACTTTATCCCAATGGTGCTTATGTCCCCGTATGCCCGAAGCCCAGGTGTCCCCGAGATGCAGCAGATCCTCATCGACAAAGGATTCGACCTGCACGACGTGCAGGACTCTTGGGGAGGATCTCTCAACAGCACCCTGAACGATAAACCAGTGCTTCGCTCTTGATTTCAGGAGCTACAGACTAGGGGCTTTGCAGGCTCGAAGGTCTGGAGGTGTGAGGCTTGGGCGTTAAGAGGCTTCTGTACGGGCTTAGCCTAGCTTTGAATCAGGCTTCGAGCTTGCTTACAAGGTCGGTCACCCAGGCCCGACATCTCGGGCAATAGCAACGAAGGAGCTTTACAACCAGAGGTTAGGCAGCGGACGATCTAGGAACTACATCCTTGTACCTGGCGAGGCCTAGCAGAGCAAACGAGGCTGAGCTGCAGAGCAAGAAAGTAAACCAATACAGCCACCTATCATGGTAAGCATGAACGATCACAAAGCGCGACTTACCAGTCGATACCGTTGGGGCTTTGCATGAAGACCCTTGCGTGGCCAAAACAGAAGGACCCGGAGAGGCTCCGCAGCCTCACGGCAGCCTGGCCGCGATTTTTTTCGGGTCGAGTTTGTTTTTTGCTATGTTTTGCTGAGTTGGGCTTCATTTGGGGGGTTTGGACGGGTTCTGTTCAGGGCACGCGCGACCGAGGAAGGGGGCCTACCCAAACAGCTCCTCCCTACGGCTCCGAGTCATAGGGACACGTTGCGCCAGTGGAGCTGGAAAGGTAGGACAAGAATAGAAACAACGCTTGCCTTCGGGAATGTGTCGCCCTCTGTACCGAGAGTCCAATAAACTTCTGCTTCAGTAAGGGGCCCTGGCACTGCCCACTTCCGTAACTGGGGCAGGCACACCCCACTTCAAAGGTCAAGAGAATCAATGGGATTCGGCAGGAGTTTCCGCCGCCTTGCTCTGCTCCACATGGTGCGCCCGACCCCTCCCAGCATTAAAAACGCTGGACTCAAGCACCCTCAGAGTCCAGAAATTTTTGGGGTTTAGGGTTTAGGGTTTAGGGTTTAGGGTTTAGGGTTTAGGGTTTAGGGTTTAGGGTTTAGGGTTTAGGGAAGCATGTAGTTGCTGGTCACAAGACGATCTCACGTTCTGTCCACCAGCCCTTGCGACCCGAACCTGAAGAACAGCTTGCACTGCCAGCCATGGCACCGAGGCCTCAGAGGGCGTCCAAGGTGGGGCGGCTCGTGGTCGGCGCAGGGTTTCGGGCGTTGAGAAGGCTGTTTGGGTTTCGAGAGGGTGTAGGGCTTAGGGTTTAGGGTTTAGGGTTTAGGGTCGTCAACCTCCGCCCAGCTCGTGAGCCCCTAAGCCCGACCTTGACGTGCGGAGGCCGCGGGGCGTGGCAGCAGGACATGGCTGAAGCTTTTTCCGATTTGGGGTTTAGGGTTTAGGGTTTAGGGTTTGGGGTCTAGGGTTTAGGGTTTAGGAATCCGGGTTTAGGGTTCAAGGTTTAGGGTTTAGGGAGCTGGCCAGCAGTGAGGTGCAGGCTTAACGGTAGGGCGTTCGTGCAGATTTCGTCTTGGGTCTTCTACGTTTGCGCCGGGTCGCGTGTACTAGTGTGCGCGCACGAACCAAGGAATGTTGCATGATGCCTCAGAAGGGCGGCTTGTGTGTGTGTGTGTGCGCGTGTGTGTCTGAGGCTTGGGTTTGGGTTCCAAGATGCTCGCAATTTCTGATCATTGAGTTCTACCAACCTTGCGGCTCTGATCAGCCTTGACCCTGCAGACGCCGAACATTTCCTCCGTCATGAAGTTCTCAAAATTGTGGTCCCTTCTTGGGGTACCCTGAATAAGAGGGGCCGCCTTACATTAAGGACCCCAAAGAAGTGACCATGAGTTCTAAGTTCCAGCACCAAACAACTAAGCTGGGCCCTAATCCCGAAACCCTAAACCCTGGCCCTAAACCTTTAACCCTTAACCCTTAACCCTTATCCCTTATAAACCCTAAACCCTAATAAACCCTAAACCCTAAACCCTAAGCCTTGACACCCGGAAGGTCTAAGTACACAAAAATCACACCCGAAGCTCTTGGTCAGCTCAGGAGTGCATTGACACCTACGACAAGACGGCTCGCCCTGGGTTCTGCAGGGTTCAGGGTTTGGGGTTTAGGGTTTAGGGTTTAGGGTTTAGGGCTTAGGGTTTAGGGTTTAGGGTTTAGGGTCTAGGATTTAGGATTTAGGGTCTAGGGTTTAGGATAGAGTTTTTCAGATTTTATGGTACAGAGGCCAGTGAGCAGCAAGTGTGCTGAGGGAGTTGAGGGAGTCACAGAGTCTCAGGGCGCATATGGGGGGGGGGGAACTAGTATGGGGGTCGGAATAGTACCTAATCGTCTAATAGTATTTCCTTATGGCCCGCTTATAGTTATACTATAACAACTCCCAAAACCCCATTCTAATTATCTAGGCCCCTACAGTACATCTCAAAAACAATTTCGCTTCACGTGCTACAAAGATGCCCAGTTTACCTTCGGACGTTTACTGTTTAGGTTGCTAGGTTACAGCCAGAACCAGCGCTGGACTGCAGGATTCCCATGGACACGGGGCCTAGTCTACATATTGGGATTCTAGCAGCGACAGGTCCATCTGCGATAAAGATCATCCTTCATGCAGCTGGGTAGTACAATCGCCCGCTGGTATACCTTCGCAGCGTGTAAACTTGTCGCAACCCTAGAGGAGGCCCAGAAGCCCAACCCTTCTCCGGACACTACTCCGAGGCCCTAAACCAAATCCCTTCCATGCCCAAAACCCTAAACCCTAAACCCAAAAACCCTAAACCCTAAACCCTGAGAAGCCTTAAGGCCCCCGATCTCCACCCCGGCAGGAAAACTACCGCTTCTACCGCCGGCACTCTGGGATGCTTGGCCACGACATCGCGCACGTGGGCAATCCGGACGTGCTTTGGCTTCAGGGTTTAGGGTTTAGGGTTTAGAGTTTAATTAGAGTTTAGGGTTTTCAGCCCGCCGACCTCTCAAAACCCCACAGCCCTGTAAGTTCTAAAGGTCAAGCCTCGAAGCCCGAAGGGGTCTACGTAGGCATGTGGGGCAGTGGGCAGGAAGTACAGCTGGTTGAAGGGATTTCGGTTTCTTAATGCTCCATTTATGATTTTGAGTCTGCCTCGGTTGTTCAGCAGAAGGCCTCAGCTGCAATCGCAGTGCTGGTTCTTTGCGTGTTTGTGGGGACATGCCCCATGTGCTGGCCCCTTGACATCATAGGGGTCGGAATGATTACCAACAAATCATCCCTGATGGTCTCTTTATAACCCCCAAAACCCTGTTCTAAGTATGAAGGCGCCTTATAGTAGACTCTCGCCTCTTTTGCCCCCAAGGTGTGTACAGCCGGTGGTCATAACTTCTATTGGGGTTACGTGGTCTTCCGCTTGCCGCACGGTCGGGAGCTCAAGGGCGTATTATTGTGGCAAACGTCGGACCTTGCTTCGGATCGGCTTAGCACGGCTTGGCATTTGGGGATGTGATCTTCGGCTGCTTCGGATCCAGCTCTCAAGATCTGGGACTTGCGAGGAGTTTGTCAGGGGCCTGGTCCGGGCTTCCAAACACTCGGATCCTGACCGTGAGCAGCATGCAGGCACATCGTATGGTGATACATTGTGGGTGCGCTTTTGGACTTCTCCTTTTCCAGGGCCCTGTGTGGTGTCGCAGCTCCCCCTGAGAAATTTTGAGAGTAACTCCGCTATGTAGCATCTACTTGTCTTTGGCCTTGCCAGTACTGTGCGACCAGGGTGTCTCACGTACTGGTGGCTGAGTTGGTAGTCTTAAGAGATGACACCAAGGACGGATAGGACAAGAGTCTGAACAAGCAACGACTACAAAGGCGCGTACAACAGATGTGAACTCGAAGCTTCACTTGTAAGGTCAGCCTCCCAGAGACCTCGCGCTGGAGTTTTCTCTCTGTGTACCTCGAGCTTGCTCCTTCTCAGTGGCGGCTCGGTGAAGATCCTGGAGCCATGGGCTGGCCTTTTAGTTCGGCACGTTGAGTGCTTAGGGCTAGGGACCTCTTTGCAGCCTATAGAATCCAGTGGGAGGCTTCACACAAGAGGGGCTGTGCTACAGACATTCTCTGCGTTGGACCTCGCTATGCGTGGCAGAGAGACGGCGTACGCTGTCAAGTTGTAGTACGCCAAGTTCGCTAAATGTCACGCAGGTTTTGGGCCCGGAAGAGGCTGAGAGGTACAGAAAGCAAAGCTTGCAGCCACAAGCGAGCGGGGAAAGCTGATGCTGATTCGTCTGAGAGGTGGAGACGATCTTCGTGCCTTACACACTCGGCCGCTACCTGGGCCGCAACTGGGGTCCTCAGACACCGGAGATCATGACGAGGCGAACTGTTATGGTTGAGGGTTCTCAAGGCTTTTTGCTTCAGGAGCTACAGGTGACTGAGGATTTTTTGGGGGCTGTAGGGTTTCCGTTCGTGTGGGTGCTGTTATCGGGCTTAGGGGATCTTAAGTGGCTTTGTTGAATCTATCTTGCTGACATGTCATGCGAGAGATGCTCAGAGCGGAGGTGGCAGGTGGATGCGATGGCTGAGGAAGTTGCCAAAGAGGACGCGAGCCTGTCTAGCTTGCTGCTTCGGTGATGTAGAGTAGGGTTTGGGCTGGGTGGAGTTGAACCGCCACGTCCCCAAAGCCCGACCCATGTGACCAGACAGACACCTACTAGCACTGGCCTTCTCCAACCTAAGGCACATTGACCCAAGTCTTAAAATGATGAGCTGGCCATCAATCCAACGTCTTCCAGCTTAATATTTTTTAGCTGGAGTACTCTGTGGCGGCCGAGACTGCGTCCAGAAGAGCGCGACTACCATAACAGACCTTCAGATGTGTACTCTGCCGCCAGGACACAGTGCGATACTTCGTCTATCAGGCGTGCTGCCTGTGAAGGGTCGCTGAGTTAGAGTTCGAGGTCTGGGTGGTAAAGTGGTGGAGTGGGTGGCCCAAAGTGGGTGTGCACTTGTGTAGTGCAGCAGAAGATCAGAATGCCTGACGAACCTCAGGTCCTAGACAACCCAAGCATGCCTTGACGCTGAACATACTTGCAAGTAAGCGGTAAGTAGATGCTAAACTTTCCAAACTATGCCCCCCCCCCCCCCCCCCCCGGCCCCCCCCCCCCCCAAGCGGCCCTACCCTAAGAACCCCGAAGATCTAAACCCTAAACCCTAACCCTACCCTAAAACCCTAACCTAACCCTAAACCTAAACCCTAAACCCTAAACCCTAAACCCTAACCCTAAACCCTAACCCTAAGAACCCCGAAGATCGCCCCCCCCCCCCCCCCCCCCCCCCCCCCCCCCCCCCCCCCAACAACCAAAGCGCTCTAGGTGGTGGCATTGCACGCCCGTGGCCCCGCGGGCTGGTACGAGCAGGAGCCGATCTCTTGAAGCTTCAGGCAGTAGAACCCCCAACTCGAGACCTTTAGGGTTTAGGGTTTAGGGTTTGGGGTTTGGGGTTTGGGGTTTAGGGTTTGGGGTTTAGGGTCTGGGGTTTAGGGTTTAGGGTTTGGGGTTTGGGGTTTGGGGTTTGGGTCTGAGGGTTGAGGGTTGAGGGTTTAGCCAACTTTGGAACATTCATCGCGTGACTGTTTGCGATGCCAATAAGGGTAGGGCCAAGTTAGGGCCAACACCGTCGTTTTGCAAACCGGGGTATGACCCTTGCACAAGAAAAGGGTCCCTACGTCTGGCAGCCCCCCACCCGGCTTTGCAGTGGCAGGAGTGGCCCTACCGGCAACAGGTGTGGCAGTATCAGCCCAGCTGCTAGGCATCAGATGATGTACCTTACACTTCTAAGAATCAAAACTCCTCAGCCCTGGCCCCGCCAGGGAAGGGTTTCAGGTGTAGGGCTTAAGGCCGCATGGTGTGCGTGAAGGAACTGAAGCTGGGTTTAGGGTTTAGGGTTTAGGGTTTAGGGTTTAGGGTTTAGGGTTTAGGGTTTAGGGTTTAGGGCAGTTTTTTGCCAGTACTCAGCCGCCAAAGGCGTTCTCAGGTCTTGCAAACTTAGATCTGCTGGAACTCGATTAGCCTTCACAGCCCGACCCAAAGACAATGGTGGCGCAGGGGCTCCCTGAGGGCGAGGGCTTAAGGGTTAAGGGTTAAGGGTTTAGGGTTTAGGGTTTAGGGTTTAGGGTTTTAGGGTTTTAGGGTTTAGGGTTTAGGGTTTAGGTTTAGGGGTGTTCAGGGTTGATTTTGCAGGGGAGGGTGGGGCCTCAACTTTACTTGAACACCCTTCGGCACAAGCCTTTAGGCACCTTTGCCAGTTTCCACAACGTTGACACACTTGTAGGGTTTAGGGTTTAGGGTTTAGAGTTTAGGGTTTAGGGTTATCCAACCGTTCACATGGTGCGGACGTCAGTTGCGGGACCGGGTCAGTCTTAATACGAAATGGGGGGCTTCCTATGCTGGAGGCACCCCTTGTTACCCTCAAATGATGGCAGAATCCCAGGACCCTCTAAAAGGGTATCCATAAACCCTAAACCCTAAACCCTAAACCCTAAAAACCCAAAACCCTAAACCCTAAACCCTAAACCCTAAACCCTAAACCCTAAACCCTAAACCCTAAACCCTAAACCCTAAACCCTAGACCCTAGACCCTATACCCTAAACCCTAAACCCTACACCCTAAACCCTAAACCCTAGACCCTAAACCCTAAACCCTAAACCCTAAACCCTAAACCCTAAACCCTAAACCCTAAACCCTAACCCTAAATCCTAAACCCTAAACCCCCGCAAATCAGAGCTACCCAGCCCACAAGCCAGTGCTCGGCACGGCGCAACAGCGTGTTCTTGCATCTTCAGTTCGCTTAGTCTGCTTGCAGTCCGAAGAGTTAAGAGGGTTTAGGGTCTAGGGTTTCTTTAGGGTTCAAGGAATTCGGCTAGGGTCGCCCAAAACGCCAGGTTGGTGGCCGTCCCCCACGAGCTGCGCGGTCCTTGCTGCACTTGCGGCGCCGCCGCTGGTTGTCGCCGGCTCGAAGGTATAGGCGTTTTTTTGTCATGCAGCTTGAAGGTCTTAGGGTAGTTAGCTACATGGGCCCTGAAAAGGGGACCCCTTGTGTACCCTAGACAACCCAAAAAACCAAACATCCGAGCCCTTGAAAACAAGGTAAGGGGCCATATTGAGGAACCATGTAGCTACCCCGCCAAGAGAAGGTTTTCGGGTTGGAGATCACAAAGGCTCTTGAGGCTTTCGGGTTCCGGCAAACTTCACTGCCCGGCATGCACCGTGGAAAAACGTTTCATCGCAGACGGCCGGGGCCTGTTTTGCAAACGGCCGGTTCTTCCCTGCACCTAACCCTCAACCCTCAACCCTAAACCCTAAACCCTAAACCCTAAACCCTAAACCCGCAAGTTCTCAAGAATTTTTTTGGCCGACCAGCATGCAGAAGCGAAAACCCGAGTCACTGCTGGCGTGTAACTTTGACTAATATAGGGTTCGGAAATATATATATATATATATCGATAGTATTCCCTTATCGTCCCTCTATAATTATACTATAGTACCCCCCCCCCCCCCCCCCAAAAAAAAAAAAAAAAAATCAGACAAACAAACAAACAAAACCTATTCCACCTATTCCACTCATTAAGGCCCCTTTTTTAAGACGGCCTGTCAGGGATCATCATGTCCCTGAACATCTCGAGGCAGGTTGTCTTTTGGACGGGATGAGCACCCCTCTTTCAAGGCGGTGGCTCTCGGTTCTTGGCTATCTGTGTTTAGGATTTAGGGTTTGGGGTTTGGGGTTTAGGGTTTAGGGTTTTGGGTTTTGGGTTTTGGGGGGTCCCTTTAAGGGGATTCCATTCTATTTGGGGTACACCAGCAATACCCCTCCCCCCCCCATTTTGGAAACTGCCCACATGTCCCACGGTTTTCCAAGCACGCCTGGAACCTTTCTATATGTCGCAGTTCCTTGAAAACAGAAACACATTCTGCTTCACGAGTCTTGCTAGTTTTGGCTTCTTGTGCCCAGGCTGGTATTTGCCTGCAGCTGGTAAAGCGCAGTGGTTCGAGAAGCTTGGCCAGAAAGCTCAATATAGCTTAATTGCTTAGGTTCTGCAGTTCAGCATGGGGTTGGGGCATGTTGCGTCGCACTGGCGTTGCAGCTTCATGGCTTGCGCACGTTCCCCTTGAAGAGTTAGAGTGGCGCTTAGTTGGGGGCGATGCAGAGAGGAGAGAAACAAACAAAATAGGGACCTTTTCAAGGAATCCTGCGATGGAAAAAGTATGCATCAGGGCCCCATGACTCAGAGCAAGCCCCATTGACAGAGCATGACCGATTCTAACATCAAACGGTTCTCCCGAAACCCTAAACCCTAAACCCTAAACCCTAAACCCTGAACCCTGAACCCTGAACCCTAAACCCTACACCCTGAACCCTAAGCCCTAAACCCTAAACCCTAAACCCTGTCAAGGCTTCTGCCTATCGGGTCTCCGCACCTTCGCTCCCCAGAGCCACATCTACGACCTTTGGGTCACAAGGATGCCCCTCTTGGGAGGGAGGGTGGAGGGTTTAGGGTTTAGGGGTTGGGGTTTAGGGTTTAGGGTTTAGGGTTTAGGGTTTAGGGTTTAGGGTTTAGGGTTTAGGGTTTTGGGTTTTGGGTTTTGGGTTTTGGGTTTTGGGTTTTGGGTTTTGGGTTTTGGGTTTTGGGTTTTGGGTTTTGGGTTTTGGGTTTTGGGTTTTGGGTTAGGGTTTAGGTTTAGGGTTTAGGGCTTAGGGCTTAGGGCTTAGGGTTTAGGGTTTAGGGTGGCTTAGAGTTTAGGGTAGGGTTTTGGAGGCTCCAGCAGCGGGATGCCGAAGCTGGCGTGGCGTGGTTTTCATTGGACCTGGCCGCAACCCCCGCCCTTCGAGCCGCTCTCGTCCCACTCGACTACATCTGATCAAATCGACTAAGAAACCTGACGAACCCACCCAATACATCCGATCAAGCCCCCCCCCCCCCCCCCCCGCGGCAAACCATGGCCTCAAGAGCACGCTTCCAAGACCCAAAAAAACCCAAGGAGAAGCCTGAAGCCTAGACCCTGAACCCTGAATCCTAAACCCTAAACCCTCGCCCTGCGATATTCTCGGGCCGACAGGAGCGACGGCGAACTGCCCCAGCTCCACACGCTTCGCGTGGTGTTGCAGCTCCTGGCACCTTGGCAAGCCTTCAAGCAGAGTAGCTACTATATCCCTCTGGGGAAATGTTTTTGTTTTTATTGATATGAAACCCAAGAGGATATGAACAAAAACAATAGTTTTATTAAGGTTCTAAGGGGAGTATAGTTCAAGCATAGTAACTAGAGGTCGACCGGGACCCAGACAAGGCCCTTATTCTCCTCTCTTTTGGGGGTTCAGATTCCCTTCTGGGCCCCTTTGTCAACAAAATGGCACCCTGAACCCTAAACCCAAAACCCGGAACCCTAAACCCTAAACCCTAAACCCTAAACCCTAAACCCTAAACCCTAAGCCCTAAACCCTAAACCCTAAACCCTAAACCCTAAACCCTAAACCCTACACCCTACACCCTAAACCCTAAACCCTAAACCCTAAACCCTAACCTTACTCCTAGGTCTAAGGGATGCTGGTGAAGCGTTATCAGAATCAGATGTCCGACATTTTGAAAGCGCAGGACCTTTGCGCAGTTTTCGGGTTAGGGCTCGGTGCTTTGCAAAAAAATCCGTGCAGGGCCTTCACGACAAACCCCTGAAAATGCAACTTTACCAGATGCCGGCAGGAAAGCGCTCCTTTGCCAGAAGCCCTCAGAACAAGGACTGCGCAAGACGTTCAGAAGATGACGTCAGCGTGTGTATGGATTCAACAAAAAGGACAATGACAAGGGAAGACAGGGGCGAGAAAAGGTCTCCGGAAACCCCGGTGGAGCCCAAGATGAAGGGAGACGGAAACCGGCCTCGAGCCCACGAATGGCCACGGGAGACTGTAAGGAGCAAGTGCATGCATGCGTGTAGGGCAGAGTTAGGGGCTTCGTTGATGCTTTCGGAACTCTACCGAGTCGATTGCCACGATGCTGCGCTATCGTCCTACGCCCGATGTACGCGACTTTGTTCGCAAGGTCTGCTGGCAGCACGCAGTCTTGTTGGTGGACTGGCTGGGCAACAGCGGCTTCGCTGGCATCGCTACTCGGTGTTTCTGGAAGTTGTTTGGCTTCTTTCCTCTGACGAGACTTAAACTCCCAAGCCCAGCCCGTGTCAAGCTCAGGAGGGCTTCCTGCCCATCACCAGCCAAGTGGCCAAGGTTTCCGCGTTTAGGGCTTTGGGGGGGCGGGGGGTGGGGGGGGGGGGGGTTGGGGGGGGGGGGGGGAATGTGTCCCTCTTGGTGCATGGGTTGTCGTGATAAGCCTAAAAAACCAGTGCCTGACTCAGATCGCCCAGTCATGTATACTGGGAGCAAGGGGCTCTAGGTTGACATAATGCCGAAGTTTGAAGAGCAGGATTGCGGTGGCAAATCTCTGAAGGAACGCTCCCTTACCCCCCCGGAATCTTCAACCAAGCTTGTGCCAAGGGCACACTGAAGCTAGGGTGTCTTTGCCGTCGTCGCTGTGATGGTTGTGTATATGGGTTGGGGTGTTGTGATTGGTAACGCCCGCGCAACGGGTAGTGCAATCTATCGTGTTGTTTTGGTTGTGGTTGTTGTGATGTTGTGGTTGTTGCTGTTGCTGTTGTTGCAGCCGCCACGGCTGGCAGAAGATAGGGTTACCCAGGATTGATCAGGCATCAGGAGATGGTGCTCCTCCTAGGGCCTTGCTTTTGCTTTTGGAGCCCCAACCAGCTCGACTAGTCCATTTCCTCACATGGCCTAGTGTACTACGCCGTACAAGCACGCAACAGCTCTGCACCGGTGATCACTTACTGTTAACGGCTTCTGTCATGCCTTAACTTGCGCACGGAACAGCACGTGTTTTCTTTAAGGCGATCGGGTCGGTGAATCAATGAATGTTGGAGGTGTTCTTGGTGCTGTGTTTTCCTTATTATTTCTTGGGCATTCTTTTGTTGTTCTCGTGCCTGTTCTGCTACTTCTACGATCCTTCCGTGAGATCACCGCCTCAAAGCCCTCCTGTCTAGAAGGCCCCCTCAATCATTTTGCACCTTTTTGCGTCTTGGACGTTTTGAGGCGGGGGGATCTAGAGCTTCCTCTTAAGATAAACAGAGGTTCCAGATCCTAGATCCTTCCTCGCCCCTGCCTAGAAGCACGATCCCATGCGCCCTTTCGGAGGTGCTAGCAAGAGTGAACAACACCTTCGCATGCCTCTCACTCGCCTTGATCCCGGATACGGGCTGAGGGTCGAGGGTCTTTGTTAAATCAGGGCCGTCCACGTAACCGAACAATCTCGAACTGGATTGAAGTGGATATAGATATGTATCCTTTTCGGGTTTAGAGTTAGTCAGGTTTAGGGTTTAGGGCTAGTAGGGTTTAGGGTTAGTAGGTTTTTTGGGTTTAGTAGGGTTTAGGGTTAGCAGGGTTTAGGGTTTAGGGTTTAGGGTTTAGGGTTTAGGGTTTAGGGTTTAGGGTTTAGGGTTTAGGGTTTAGGGGTGGGTTACCAAGAAGGCCAGAGGCCGCGGAGCTCTCGCCAAGTCACCTTCAGGCTCCTTCTAAGTCCCCCAAACCGCCGCGAAGCCCCATTTTGTGTACTAATTCCATAGTGATCCGTATATGGTTATACGATAATAACCCCAAAACCCTGTTCTCATACTATAATGACGCCCAAAACCCTGTTCTTATACTATAATAACCCCCAAAACCCTGTTCTAATTTGAAGGCCCCTATGTTAGACCATCACGAGGTGTAAGGCACACAGAGCAAAGCCGGGTGGTTTGAAGACTGAACTTGAGGCACACCTTCCGGGGCACTGTGACAGTGCGATATCGCGTAAACCCTAAACCGGAAATCCTAAACCCTAAACCCTAAACCCTAGGTCCTAAGCATGCGGTCCATGCAGCGGACGTTGGGCGCAGTGCGATCTGCTGGCGGAGGCACTGGTACACACTCTTGGTCCAAAGCTCTCCCGGCACCCATGATTAAGGTTTAGGGTTTAGGGTTTAGGGTTTAGGGTTTAGGGTTTAGGGTTTAGGGTTTAGGGTTTAGGGTTTAGGGTTTAGAGCTACTTGTAGCGCGACACACACACACAGACACACACCCACACGGCTATGAATATTCTATTTTGGGCTGACCTTCCAACGCCATGCTATGTAGCCGGAAGTCATCCGGTGCGTTAAGCCTAGCTGTTCCTTGAATCTTTGGCGTGAGAATACAATGAACCATGGATAAGATTGGTCATGTTTGAGCTTGACCTTCTCCTCCTATTCGCTTGAACCTTGCTTGAGCTTGTGTGGCCGCTGTGTGGCTGCTGTTTGCAGGGATTGTGCAGTCCGTCCTGGCTGCCTTGGTCTGGATGATGCGAAGATGGTTGAGGCTTCGTGGCTTCGTGGAGTTCGCTGTATGCCTGCAAACCCTCACATGGCTCTGACATCGCCGCAACAACCTTCCAGGTGATTCAAACCCTAAACCCCTAAACCCCTAAACCCCTAAACCCCTCAACCCCTAAACGCCTAAACCCCTCAACCCCTGAACCCCTAAACCCCTAAACCCCTAAACCCCTAAACCCCTAAGCCCCTAAGCCCCTAAGCCCCTCAACCCCTAAACCCCTAAGCCCCTAAGCCCCTAAGCCCCAAGCCCTAAACCCCCAAACCTTAAAGCTGCAAAACATCCCCGGGATCTCAGACTCCACTCGGCCCTTTGGAGGCAAGCTTGCGAGCTGGGCTTTTGGATGTTCTTCTACCTTGTCCTGGCAAGGGAGATTCCCTGGAAGCCCTTTCCTGACTTTACATTCATTTGGTACAAGGACGCCGTAACAGGGAACGGATCAGCTGCGCAAAGACCCTGACCCAACTTCTGGTTTTCCGGTGTTTGGTTTCTGGCTCAGGTTCGAGGTTGTTGCTTTCGGTCCAGAGTTTGGGTTTTGGGTCTTAGGCTTGACATCATGCCTTTGAGGCCCGCAGACTCCATCCCCAAGAGATTTCGTAGCGAGATGGAGGAAGAGTTTTGCGGTTCAGGGCAAGTCGTGGCTTCTAAGGTTCATTGGCTGTGGCACTTTAGGTTTGAATGAAAGATCTCGAGGGCATGTCGTATGCATGCAAACCAACTCTGACGTTTTGGTTGTGTCTTTTTGCAAGCGCTGGTCGCATACCTGGTACCGAACTCCGATTTGGGGAAGCGTGATCGCGTGCCAGACGTGCGAGGATCCAAAAGCGCCCGTCACATGGACTCTATCCCGATACACCTTCGCGGATTTCCGGCGCGCGAACACCTTTGAGATGCAAAAACTCGGGAAAAGAGATAAACCTTAAACCCCAAACTAAACCCTAACATTGGTTTCTTGCAGCTGCTGCGGGGCACTTACCCAGAGTGGTTTTGCAACTCAAGAAAAAGCACTGGGTTTTGGAGTACTACACTTTAATACTTTTTTAGGTTCTGGGTTCCTGTAATAGCTACTTATACCTACAAAGTATATACTTTTTTTCCAGGGTCTACTCCAAAGCTAAGACAGCAGGACCAAGTTAAAGGCCTCTTGCCTTTTGACGACACAAGGGCTTTGGCATCCCTGAAACCAAACTGCCAACCCAAACCTACATCCCCAAACCCTGAACCCTGAACCCTGAACCCTAAGAAATGGCCAAGCATCCCCCTCGCAGGATCGCCTGAACATGTGCTCGGCTGCTCCACTTCGGCACAACTCCCTGCTGCCCAAAGAGGCCGGGTTTAGCGCCGCCCCAACGGGGTGTGTCTGTGGCCCCAACTCGGAACCTTCCACACTTTTCAAGGCGATTCACGGATGAGGGATTATGGTTTAGGGTTTAGAGGTTAGGTTTTGGGGTTTGGGGTTTGGGGTTTGGGGTTTAGGGTTTAGGGGTAAGGCTGTTAAGGGATGTCCAGGTTCAGGGTCGGCCTGAGCCCTTCGGCCCGACACCCTGAACAAGCAAGACAAAGCAGAAATGTCCTGCGGGTTTAGGGTTTAGGGTTTAGGGTTTAGGGTTTAGGGTTCAGGGTTTAGGGTTTAGGGTTTAGGGTGCGGCAGGTGGCAGCATATTTCCCCATGTGGCTCCTGAGCCTGTTATTCGTGTATGCGCCGCGGCCCCAGGCTGTTTGTGTGGGGCTTGGCATGGTTTAGCATAGTGTCATAGACCCTAAACCCTAAACCCGAAACCCTAGACCCTAAACCCTAAACCCTAAACCCTAAACCCTAAACCCTAAACCCTAAACCCTAAACCCTAGACCCTAAACCCTAAACCCTACACCCTAAACCCTAAACCCTAAACCCTAAACCCTTCGTGGACTGCAACTTGGGGTGGCATCGCTCCTGTTGCAAAGGCCTGTGAACCAAGCGCTGAACCTGTACCAGCCTGTGGTGTCCGTCTGCCACAACATGCAGGCTAGGGTTTAGGGTTTAGGGTTTAGGGTTTAGGGTTTAGGGTTTAGGGTTTAGGGTTTAGGGTTTAGGGTTTAGGGTTTAGGGTTTACGGTTTACGGTTTACGGTTTACGGTTTACGGTTTACGGTTTAGGGTTTGTTTAGGGTTTGGGGTGTGGGGTGTGGTGTGGGGTTTGGGATTTGGGATTTGGGGTTTGGCTTGCGCCGCAGCATGGACTCCCGCCGGCTAAACATGGAGCTTACAGACATCGGAATTGTGCTTCAACCAACTGAGATATGAGACCTTTCGATTCTCCCGACGATTGATAAGCTTTGATTAGCATGGGCCTGTTGGCTGGAAAGGACAGGTCATACGAAACCCTTCTCAAAGGAATGGGGGTCGTAAGACTTGAGTCTCAATAAATCCTCCAACCCTGATCCTTGGGTGACCCAGCTCGTAATTGAGGCTAGGTTTGAGGATACTGCAGGACGGTACGGCGATGGCGAAACGCAGCCCTAAATTCCGATCAGGAGGCATCAGCTGCTCTACCGGACTCTACCGTCTTTACCTGTACCCACCTCCAAGAAAGCTCAGACGGGACGCCGAAATTGTCCTCTGCGCAGATCTTTGAGAGTCTGTTCGCGGTCAGTGTGGCTGGCGCAGGCGCGGACTCGACATCTGCAGTGGCTGATCGTTTCGGGGTTTGACCGTGTGACTCTAGAGTTTCCGGTGGAAGCTTGCCTTTAAGCTTGGGGTGAGCTGGGGTGATTTTGGGGTCTAAGGATGAGTGCATCAGGCCATATCAGGCCTCTTTGAGAAGCTCAGCAGGTGTGAGGTGCAGAGGATGGAGCTAAGTCAGCTAAGTTGGGATGTGCCCAATTATGGAGATTCACAGCCAGTGCAGACACGCTCCCATGCAGAGCAGCATCATTATCGCTCGTCTTTTGTACCCGTCGCAGGAGTCGGATTCATGCGGCATTTCAGCGGCGCCCACCTCAGCTCTTGCAATACACCTGTCTACTGTGTCTGATATCATGTTCCAGCATGCGTTTCCTCGATCAGAATTGTTGACGGTTCCGACACAAGTCCTCTCATACTGCACTGGGGATTGATGCCTGGACATTTTCAAGCATCCTGCGCATGCGTCCAGGTCTGTGCTCCGGGCCTAAACCCTAAACCCTAAACCCCAAACCCCAAACCCCAAACCAAACCCCAAACCGCAAACCCCAAACCCCAAACCCCAGACCCCAGACCCCAGACCCAGTCAGTAAGAGTGAGGCAATGCGGGTGCTGTTTGCACGGGCGTGCTGCTGACGGCCTTTTGCCTGTGGTGGGAGCCAGAGCTCCTGAGGGAGGCCGGAAATATTTGAGGGCTCTGAGGCAAATTTGAGAAAAAGAAGGATGTGTGCTATCTATTTATATTATATGTGATATCTTATTGCACCATGTCTTGCAGCATACACGTACACCGAAGCCGCACCCCTTTGCTGAGAGAAACTGTCTTGTTCCGCATCCGACAAGTGGGGCTGCTAGATTTTGAGGACCATGCGTCGCAGCATGTGATGCATTGTGCTCAGGGGCAGGCCTGCACAACATTCAGGACCACGGGCAGACAGGCAGCACACCATTCAGGACAAAAGGAGGGCGCCGCATCGGACAATGTGGCCTTATCACACAAGCAATGGAGGAAGAACAAACTTTTTCCACAGGCCAGATGACATTGAGAGTTTCCGAGACGAGATACACACGTGCCAAGATTCGTGCGCAAGTGAGATGACATTCAAAGTCTGTTTGCAAGGCAAGACGCCCCTGTGCCGAACTTTTGATGACAGCACGCACATGCTTGAGATGCAAAAGACATTCTTGGCGGTCGCACGGGATAGTGGGAAATGATTCGTGTGCTTGCCCCGAACCTGGCACGGCAAGAAGCAAGCTTTTTTCACACGTGAGATGAGAGTGAGACTTTGTTGCGAGACAAGATCGACAAGATCGTTGCCCGCGCCCGACACCTGTGTGCTGGAAGCAGACCTCCTGGCTGTTGCAAACTGACAGGACGAAACCGAACGCTACAGTTTCTCAAGTTCGAAGCTTAAATAAACGGCTCAGACAAGTACATAGTTGCAGGTTATGATTGTTAAACATCGAAAGAAGCATCAGAACATACAAAACTGTACATGACAGCAGCTTTGAATGGAAGGACCACAAAGCCCGGAAGCAGCCACCAAAGCTGCGTAGGGGCCACGCTCATGAGCACCATCTCCTTTTTGAAGACTGCGCACAAGAAATCCACTTAAGCCGAAGCGCCTTGTTGAGAGAAACCATCACGGCTGCTGACAAGTTTGCATCTTGAAGCTGGGATCTTGCGATCCTCCGGGCCTAAGCCTGGAAACTGCAGTGCGAAGCGTTCAAGCAGCTGTGAGCGCAGGGATTTCGGGAAGGGCGCCGCTTTGTATGGTTGACGACTGCCGAGATGCTGCCCGGATGTTTGGCGCAGGATCCAGCAGAATTGGGAATTGTATTTAGGTTCGCTCCATTCGTTGGGGGGGGGGGGGGTGTAGACGATTGTCGGTTGAGGGTTAGCTTTCACAAGATAACTTGAGAAAGGGATGTAGGAATACTACTGAAAGATGAGCTAGGCCAGTCTGAAACGGGCACAGTAAAACTGGTTCTGCGCAGTCCCTAAACCCTAAACCCTAAACCCTAAACCCTAAACCCTAAACCCTAAACCCTAAACCCACGATGCTGTGGTCTGTTTTCAGTCAGGAACCTCGAGCTGCTTCACCTTCACCCAACACTACGAGTGGCTTAAGAACCCCCCAAAAAATAATAATCCCTATATTGCCCTTAGAAGGAAGAACTTCTTGTATGTTTTTTGGGGGGGTTCTTAAGCAATTGGTAGAACAAACCCCGAAAATGAAACCGAGGTTGCCTGGAGCTTTGTTGTGTGCCTGGCTACTGGAGGCCGCCTTTAACTGGGGGCGTGGGGAAGAAACTCACGTGCTGGGAAGTTCGGGTGTCACAACTGTCACCCAACCCAGCCACTGAAAACCACGAGCAATCCTTCAGTTTACGTTTCTAGGAAGCTGCTCCCAGCAACAGCTTACGCTATCGGGTACGACTCGCGAAGGGAAGATCCAGGGCTTGGGGTTTGATAGTACTTTTGGAGCCTGAAGAACTGGACACATCATTCCTTTTCGTGTTCCCTTGCAACTTACGACGCCACTGCTTAAATCGACTTTCGTAAAAATCAGAGACTCCATCACATCATGTGGGTACAGGTGCAGGATGTAGGTTGGCACTCGGCCTGCCGTTTTGGACCTCCATGCCACAAGAGCCCTAAACCCTAAACCCTAAACACTCAGGCGCGCTGCCTCCCGGGTCATGGTGCTTGGTGGGGCTTCGCCCTGACCGTGGCCGCTGTGCTGGCCGGGGGGGTGGGGGGGGGGAAGAAGGTTTATGGGCTTATCGGGGTGGGGG